TGAAAATACAAAGAGATTGATTCTTTTATATACCGGTTTAAACTTATTCAAAATGGATAGGGTTCAGATATTCGTTCATGGTTTTAGGTTAAGCTTTCTATACTCAATACGAATTTTGTATATATTATGGTCGGGTTCAGTTAAAAGTATTTCAAAATTTGGATATGTTATAACTTTGCCTAAGTCTAACTTATTTTGAGTTTGGTTAATATATTTCGATTTTATATATTTTAGATATCATATCAAAACAAACATAAAGATAAAATATTACTTATTTGAGTTCCGAATATTTTTTTTTTTTGGAATTTTCTTTTTCACCCAAACATGGGTTGTTTGGTTAGGCAACGGTTTCGGTTTGCTTTTTGGTTTCTTACCACCAACCATACCAGATCGTCTCAGTTATACCCCTGCATTTGTTTCTAATTTTAAATTTAACCCACAATATTTGTTTCGTCTCATTACAATCCAATCACTTAACTTACTAAACAATTCGACCCGGACCCAAACCCAGACCCGGATCATAATTTTCAAATCTTCAGAACGCAAACTGAAAAAGCATCATCACTGTATCGGCGATTCCATAAAAAAAAATGCAGAGCGTAACAAACTCATCTCCGTCGCCAGAAGCGATACTAGAATGGCTCCAGAAAGAAATGGGATACCGAAACAAACCCCACGTACCTTCCCTTGATTCCGTTGGAAAGATATGTAGAGGGAACATGATACCAATTTGGGAGTTTTTAATGAACCGAGTGAAGTCTGAGAAGACTGTTGATAGCATTAGGCGTAACATCACTGTTCATGGTGAGGGTAGTGATAGTGTGGATTTAGTTAAGGAGGAGATTTTGAGTGGTGTTGAGAGTAGAGAGGGTGCGTTGGGTGAGAGAGAGGTGGCTGTGAAGGATGTGGAGAGGTTGAGGAGTGTTGTGAGGAGGCAAAGGAAGGGATTGAGAGATAGGATGTTGGAGGTTTCGAGAGAGGAAGGTGAGAGGAAGAGGATGCTTGATGAGAGGGATAGTTAAAGGTTTGGATTTTTAGTTACCGTTGTGCTGAAGTATTGGTGGTTTTTGGTTATGTGTTGATTTTTTTTTCGAACTTGCTAATAGTATAGCTAGGTTTAGGATGGAATATGTCAGCAGTAATGTTTTTGTGGATTTGGATTTACATTTCTGAGACAAGGGTTTGTAAGCTTCCTGAAGTAGTTGATATCCATCTTATAGTGACAACCCGTCCTTTGGACCTAGGCTCACCGTCCTGCAGGGCACCAACCCTAATTCCTCACATGTGAACCTTCACCGACTCTTCAGGTAGGTTATTGGTGCGCTTGGCGGACCTCACCCTTTAATAAACTTCCACAAGACAACTTTTTACCAATTGTAAGTTGTTACCAATTGATACAATTGGTAACAACTTTTCTTGTGGAAGTTTGTTAAATGGTGAGGTCTTTACATGGAGAGTCAGTGAGAATTTATATGTGACAACCCGTCCCGTTGACCCAGACTCACAGTCTTGTAGGGCACGGACCCTAATCCCTCACATATGACCCTTCACTGACTCCCTATTAGCGTTTTTTGAACCCAAGACCTCATTCTTTAACAACCTTACACAAGACAAGCTGTCACCAATTGATCTGCAGTTCAATTGGTAACAACTTGTCTTGTGGAAGGTTAGTTAAATGGTGAGGTATTTTTACATGGCGAGTCAGTGAGGGTTTACATGTGAAGGATTAGGGTCGGTGTCCTGCGGGCTGTGAGCCTGGGTCCACGGGACGGGTTGTCAGACTTATCTTCCTGCTAAGATGAAGCATGGATAACTAATTACATGAGTTAAGCGATCTGGGTATGTTAAAAGGAATGTACTTTGCTACGTTTCCATTGTATATGTACAGTAGATTTTTTGAATCGTTTTTTTGTGGTATTATTCTTTTTTTCAGGCATAAGCAAGTAACGCTTGAAGCTTATGATCAGCAATGTGATGAAGCAGCAAGAATATTTGCCGAATATCACAAAAGACTACAATTTTATGTGAATCAAGCGAGGGATGCACAGAGGTCGGGTTTGGATTATTTAGGTGATTTAACGAGTAAGCTCAGCACTGATATCGAGAGGGAAGCTGTTTATTCTTCTGTCAGAGGAAGTAAGTCGGCGGATGATGTCATTCTTGAAACTACTCGGGAGAGGAGTGTTAGGAAAGCTTGTGAGTCACTTGCATCGCGAATGGTTGACAGAATATGTAACTCTTTCCCTGCTTATGAAGGAAGCGGAATTCATTCGCATCCTGAGCTTGAAACTGCGAAGCTGAGTTTTGAGTATGATGGAGAAATATCTGATGAGATGAGAGCTGTTTTATTGAACTGCTTGAGTAGTCCTCCTCTTCTCCTTCAGGCTATTGCTGCTCACACCCTACGTCTTAAGACCCTAATAACCAAGGAGGTAGAGAGGGTAGATGTCAGAGCTGATGCTGAAACATTGAGGTGACTCTCTACTTTCCTTAAAATGCCTCTCTCCAAATGTGCAATTCTGCTTCAGCCGGGTTTGATTTACTTGAAATTCACCTTGCATGCTATTTCTGATGATTTCTTGAAACTTCAGAGGCAGATCATGCAAGTTAATATGCAATTGATAGTTACTTAGTCTTTGTCGTTGGCAGTTAACTTCCATTCAATGTGTCTTATCTGTTCGATATAGGCTGTTCCAGGACTTGCTTTTATAGTTGTTTGATCAATGATATTTATACTTGCCTCTCTTTTTACTGAATGACTATCCTCCGAAATTCATGTTCTAGTGTATTGATTAACTATTAAAGCCATTTGATGTCAACCTATTCAACAGGTATAAGTATGAAAACAACCGAGTAATGGAGAGATTTCTTCTTCTTATGTGAGCTCGCCATTAAGTTATCAGTTTAATGGTAATGGGAAGATAGCCACAGATACTCATTCCGAAGGTTCAAACAACCAGCTCCTCGAACGACAGGTTGCTCTCATCATCTACTTTTTGGTTTCTTTTTGGTTATTTCTGCAGATAATGTTTAAAAAGGACATAGTTTCAGGCTTTCTGCTTAGCAATGGCTTAGCTTGCGCCTACGGATTGTTTTTAGGCCAGCTGCTGCATGTAAACTTGTTGCACGATAATGATCATACGTTTAGGATCCATTTATCTTATCTTGTACGCATGCCTGGCACATGTACATTGATATCTGAAATACAACGGCTGAATAAATTATGCGCTGAAAGGAAAGAAGCTGAACATTCCTTAAAACAGAAATGGAAGAAAATTGAAGAATTTGATGCTCGCAGATCCGAACTTGAAACCATATATACTACTCTTCTCAAGGCCAACATGGTAATAATTCTTCTAACCATTTGATTTTGTTATTGAACAAAAAACCTATTAATTGGAATTGGCACAACTCTGTGTGATGTTCCGATTTTTGCTCAGGATGCTGCTGAGTTCTGGAAGCAGCAGCCTCTAGCTGCAGGGGAATACGCAATGGCCACTATAATTCCAGCGTGTGAGGTTGTTGCAGACATTTCAAAAAACTCTAAAGATTTCATTGAGAAAGAAGTGTCTGCTTTCTTCCAAAGTCCTGATAACACCCTCTATATGCTTCAAGATTTAGTTGAAAGTGGTCGCTCTCTACTAAGCCATGCTTACCATTCCCAGCAAGAATATGAAAGGTAAGGCAATACTTCTATGTACTATCGTGTGGTTGATGCACCTTTATCATCTCAGTTGTGCCATATTATTGTCTGCTTGATTCATTCTTTATGCGAGAATACAATGTACAGGACAACTAAGCATTGCCTAGATCTTGCCACAGAACAAGATAATGGAATAACAGAGAAATGGTTGCCTGAGCTCAAGACTGCAGTCTTGAATGCTCAAACTTCATTGGAGCACTGCAAATACGTATGGGGTTTGGTAGGGAACTCCTTTGACTTTATAAGCTCACTATCATTATTATTAATTGTGCTTTGGACATGGTTATTATAGATTAATGAAACACTCTTTTTCAAGGTTTTATAATAAATAGCATTTTGTTTGTGTATGAATGCAGCTGGATGAATGGTACGAACAGCCTGCTGCAACTGTTGTGGACTGGGTGACGGTAGATGGGCAAAACGTTGCGGCTTGGCATAACCATGTGAAATCATCCTATTGTCTTCTACGATAAGGACTAGGATCAGAATTTGAAAGGTTGCTTAGTGGCAAGCAGAAGTATCTTTGAAGCATTCGGTCTCAGGCACTACAAAGATTTTTCTATAAGGTACAGTTGTATAGAGAACGTTTTTCTATTCTCCATAGTAACTATCCACTGTTTTTATTTAATAGGTCTTGAGTTTGTATTTTGTGGTGTTGATGATTGTTTCTACGCATACACTTGTGTTTTGTATAAACAAGTGGTTGAATAGTTTTGTTTTCAAGAACAAAAAAAAGACATGGCACAAGTGTTAATATCTGTGTTTTAAATAACTCGAGCTTTATCTTTCGCTACCTTCAAGATCTTGATCTCAAGCTGACCTTTCGTACAGTATCATTGTTACTGTTCCTGTTCTGTTCCATCCACTTCCCTTGTGACCAATAAACAGTCCCGATGAAGACAAGTCCTCTTCATCAAGATCCTCTTCTTTCTCTGCATTCTTATCATTATTTGATCTTTCAACTACAACACAATCTATCCTTTGCGGACAAAGGTGTGTACCGCGTAATGTAAGAACTTTCGGGTACAGTATGCGAAAGAAAACTAAAGGCTTTCAATCTTTTTGAAGATTAGATTAGACCCTCGAGTATGCTTCTCTTGAGAAACTTCCTAATTGACAAAGTGTGACTCGCCTCGTTATCTTTTATTGAGTTTATATTGCGGTATGGACCCTCTCTGTATTTTGGATTCATTGTGCTTCTGATAATCAAAATACCATATAATAAATCAGCTTTAAAAAAAAAGCTATTTATCAATATACTTTGAATTATAATGGCAACCCAAGTTGGAGTTGTCTTTTTGTTTAATATCTTGAGCAAAAGAAAAGTAGCGTACCAAACATTTTGTCAATTATTTCATTTGGTATAATAAAATAAAATGTCCATAGCCATTCATTTCAGTGTGAATTCCCTATAAAATCATGTGTAACTCTTTTTAGTAATCACTATTAAGATGTTTTACCATTTTTAAAAATTTTGTCAGAAGAAAAGTTGTGTAGAAATGGCATTATATGTTTCCAAATATGACGTGATGGTAAACAATAATTAAGAGGAATACGATTTTGTGTATATGTTATTACCAAATTACTATGTGATATCATGTACATTAGCATGCTATCGAATAAATAGTATAATAATTTTAAAATTTGCGTGAATTTTATGCTATTGTTTAAAAGATGCGCAATAATACATCCCCATTTGTTTATCATTTCTTCGCCACTTCATTTTGTAAATATACGTCAGTCTGTTTTATGCATATAAATAATTTTTCTTCTTATATGAGAATAAAAATAAATATATTAAAATATTAGCCAATTTCATTTCAACTTGACTTAGCGACCAAGGCGGCATTTACAGGTCGTGACTTAAAAAGTTAAAAAGATCTAACTGGTTTATTCGATTTTAGTGTCGGAAAAAACATTTTTTCTAATCTTTTTCTTACATGCATATTTTGTCAAAACACGGTTTAGTAAATGATGGTTACGGAATATATAATATATCACGTTCAAAAATGAGGAAAAAAAGAATTGAAAAGAATATTGAAACGTTTAAAGACCGTAAGTTTCAAAAAAAAAAACATTTGAAGACCAAGAAATGGATATATTTTCGTGGCCGCAAGACCAGCTTAAGCGAGTAAAAAGGTGCATATACTTTATGTCTGGTTAGTTCTTGATTATAAAAATATAACACTTATCCACATGTTTAAAAAAAAAGCCTTAAAAAACTGATAATATAAATGTGATCAAAGTTAAAAACTTAACTTTTAGGTTTTAATTCGTAGATGTGGAACGTAAGTTACTAATGGAATCGACGGATGAAATATATGGTTAAGCTTAATAAGTTATATAGACAGTGGCAACTTGCAACATATAATTAGATGTTGAAATAAGGCGGTTATGTATGGCTCGGCTCTGAAGGAAGTCCCAAAAAACATAAGCCGGAAGCATAAAAAAATTTGAAAATAAGATATCTTTTTAATATGTATAAAAATTCCAAAACCTATATTTAAAAATAAAAAAAGAAATGAGTATCTGTAAATTGGTTGTTTTCATGAGTGAATATGTGAATGTCTAACGCGCTAAATAATTCGGATACTACAATAAAAAGTTTAGATGTCACGAAATGTAAAGGAACCGAATTGAAATAAACAAGTGAAATATACTCAGAACTAAGAAAGGCATCATATTTTTGAGACAGGATTTGACGCATTGTTCTAATCTCCATTAGCATTGTGAAAACTCTTGTCAAATCTTTATTTACTATATATATGATATTTATAAACTAATAAAATATTATCGTTATAATATATATCACAAATTAACAAAGTATAGATTCTTTTTATTGTCTGATCAGATCTACTTTTTTATCAAGAATCTTGTAACTACAACTGTGGTTCCTTTTTTATTGTATGTCAAACAGGCAGTCTTTCATTTAGCTGACTACTATTCCAACGTGAAATGCAGATAACTACGGTAAGAATTTATATTGACTCGAGTCAAAATATATTAACTAATTTCTTATAACATTTTTTGACATTTCTAAACAATGTTATCAATGAACTGGAATAACTTAACACTAATTGTAGTGATATTTCTAGTTTTTTCATATCATTATTTTGAAAATGTGTGCGGGTTTAATTTCCAAACTCTAAATAAGAATAACTAAAATCAATTTTATATTATCTTGGTTTGTTTGTATTATATTTTCGTTGAGTTATTAATCAAATCTAAATCCATATAATACGTTATTAACAAAAGTACAATCAGAATAATGGAAAATAACATATCTATTCCATAAACCTAAGGCATACCTATTGAATACTACGGCATTCAGCTAGGGCTCTACAAAGTGAAACTGAAATCAACCAAATTAAAACGTGCGTCTTGGTCGTATAGATGCTTCTTATTGCTTGGCTAGATCTCTGTAGTTTTTATGATTCTTGTAACTACTGTATATTGTTCTGTTTCAATATATGTTAGACACACGACTCTAAAATAATAGAGATTTAAAAGTATGTCTTTCACTTTGTTGACGAGTATCCAACGTGAGGTGCAGATTATAAAGAAATCCAAGTTACTTTCAAAACTTAAATATTACTATTAAGTTATCACTTATCAATAATCAACCATTTCATCTACCTTTGTAGACTAATGAGTACATATATACGTAATATTAAACTGGTGGTATTAATATATGTAGTTTGACCTTTTTAGAGAAAATATATGTATTTTAAAATCATTTTTCTCAGCCTTTCACCGATCCAAGGGAAACATGTATTTCACATTAAAATTGTTAATAATAACAATTTTAAAAATATAACATGCATTTTCAACTTTTGGTTTTGAATTTTAGTTTTTAAATTTGGTTTTCGGTTTTGCGTAACATTTTTTTAAAAATCAGTAAATTATTTAAGAAAAATAAAACAATAAATTATTTAAAAGTTACCATTGAAATTTATCAAAAAGGTGATTGTTATTTAAAATAAAAATACATTAACATGTTTGAAAGTACATGAGTTAAATAAATGATTAATAATAGACAATTTTGTTTTGTTAAAATTATTAAATACCTTTTAGGCCTGAAAATAATAATTGATTTTTTGATCCATTAAGGTGAAAAATTTATTCAATGTTTTTTGGAGTTTTTCCTTAATATTAAGTCCAGAAACCAAACCATATTGTTCTAAAAACAAAAGTAAGTTCAAGACTATATCCCATAAATAAGCACCGGTTTACTTTAAGTAATGCGGTTCAACTAACTATATGGTTTGTATTATTTGTAACACTCTAGAAAGAATCCAAATTTAAATGATAATTTGTATCAGTAGATAAAAAGAAAGACTCTATTTTAATAGAGTAGATGCGGCTTTAAACTTTTTCCAATGTATTTTTCTGTTTTTATCTATAAAAAATAATTCCTAAACAAAGTTTAGATATAGTCGAAAATAGATATGAATATTTATCCAATGTAATGTATATCTATAAAATAGAATGTCTTTAAAAATTAATAACTATTATCTTTCTCCACATATACAATAAAATATCAATTTCTATTTTATTTTGTTTTTTTTTATTTTATTTTTAAACCACAAGATAGTGGTTTAGTGGTAGGCGAGTTTTGAGATATACTAAATAATCCGAGTTCGAAGGCATCCCACTACATCTTTCCTTGTGGCCACGCGGATATGAGTCTATCTTACAGTCCATTTGAATATCCGGAGTGAGGATCCATCTGTGGGTTACACCACCTCTTTGAGTATTAGTCTGGGTCTATTCATGGGTCTGAGATACTTCCAAGATTAAAGAAAAAAAAATCAATTTCTATTTTTTTTTTTTTTTTTATAACTCAGGTGTCCAGGGCTTATTTAGAGACCCGACTATCCCCCGAAGGGGTCCTGAAGGCCAAACGGAAACCATGTTAAATCCGCTGTGGCCGAGGCTCGAACTCGTGATGGCGGACACCTCAGCCGAGATTTCTTTACCACCAGACCACGAGTCAATTTCTATTTTTAATAGAATATGGATGATCTGAAGAAAAATGCATCTAAAATAAGCATTTGAAGCCAAATATAAAATTGTGTTTGCAAATCCTTTTCTTAGTTAACATTTTATAGGGAGTTTCTGTCGTCCTTCTTTGTATTACTTGTTTCTTTGTCTTACTTGTTATACCCATTGATAATAACAAGAACTGAATATCCAATACGGCTATACCGGGGATTGAATTGATATACCTTATCACTTGTTGGTGGTCTGATGGTTTCTATTGGACAAGGAGTTATATCTTATTGGTTTAGGTCATAGATGATCGATTTCTCTCCAATATAAAATTGCTAGTTCAATGTGTAGTAATGCAATATAAATCTCTAACTTCCATGTAGAAACAATTGGACTTATCTGTAGTCAGTGGACCGACCCACAGAAACATGATTAGTAACACTTTTCCTGTTTAATAAAAAAAAATGGCTATACCATATACGGCAAAGGGTTACCTGGCAAAACCATTATGCTCTTAATCCAAGTTGTTTCTATACGTATAGAATTAAACATATTATTGGTGTATGAATCATGATGTCACGTTGTGATAATGGAAACTACGAGAGTTCCATTAATTAATCAGCTTTTTTTTTCTCTCTCGCTCTTTTTTGGTCATGAATAGTTGAGAGAACAATGACAGAAAAGCCAAAGTTCAAAGCACAATGAGATTAGTTAAAGACAAATGCGATAATGATACCATTCTGAGCATTATTTGAGACACGATATATAGTCACACCATCATCCAAGTTTTATTTCATATCAACATCTGAAAACTACATAGAGAGAAGTGTTTATCTATATATACACGCACACATACACTGATATATACATACCAAACTATGGTGAAGTTTGATACGAAACTATGGAAAGCTGTGTTTATGATGTCGATTATCAACATTGCGTTAAGCGTTGTAAACGTTATGTTCAAGAAGATGCTTAATCAAGGAGTTAATCGTATGGTTGCGGCCACTTACCGACTTGCCGCAGGAACTCTGTTCTTGACACCATTTGCTATTTTCTTAGAAAGGTATTTGTGTTTTCTATGTCTATATCATATAACTACTCGAACCTTTGGATACAGTGACCTAGTCATGGCTTCACTCTAGCCACATATCTTCTTCATCATAAAAATTCAAGTAATTCATCCAGTATTTTCTTGGTTTTGTTGATTACTGATTAGTTAAGATCCTGGAAGTTTCTTTTTTTTTCTGGATTGAATATACTTATTAAATTACAAGTGTATGTCTGGTTTATTCGAAGTTCGAGTGCCTTGTTGACTCTTGGTTTCAGTCTCTTTTGTGTAAAGTCAACAAATTCTTAAAAATTAATTACATTTTTTTTGAGGAAAAAAGATATATTCGTATTCCACTGACGAGAAATTAATTTGGTTTTTCTTTTTGTAGACATAACAGGCCAAAACTCACTGGTGGTATCTTGTGTTCACTTTTCTTAAGCGCTCTCCTGGGGTAAGTTTCTTTTGATATTAGTTTTAACATTGGACGTCAAGAAATTGTCTAATTTTTTTTCTGTCAATTTCAATTTTGCAGGACAAGTTTGGTGCAATATTTCTTTCTTATTGGACTACAATATACATCTTCCACTTTTGCCTTAGCGTTCAGCAACATGGTTCCTTCAGTCACTTTTGCTTTGGCTCTAGTCTTTAGGTAATGAAAAGATTAAGAACATTTCCATACTATTGGATTCTTCATTTCCTATAACTATCACAATTACTTTTATAAACTAGTATTGAACAATGTAATCAAATAATGAAAATGATTAGGCAAGAGACGTTGAACATCAAGAACAACATAGGAAGAGCCAAAGTGTTTGGAACAATGATATGCATATGTGGAGCTTTGGTACTTACACTTTATAAAGGAGCCTCACTAACTCCACAAAACGCTCAAACACAAACAGAAACGTCAAATAGTCCAACCACTGCGGTAACGCAAAAATGGGCAATGGGTTCGGTCATGCTGATCATATCTATCTTAATATGGTCATCATGGTTCATTGTTCAAGCTAAAATATGCCGGAAATATCCATGTCAATACACAAGCACCACTATCCTCTCTTTTTTTGGTGTGATCCAATCTGCTTTGTTGAGTTTAATCTCAGAGAGGAGCATATCCATGTGGGTCGTTAAAGAGAAGTTCCAAGTTTTAGCTTTACTTTATTCGGTAAGTAATTACAGTAACTATTTACTTGACCGACCAAATCTATCAAATCAAATACATTATGTGCATTTAAGCTTTTCTTACGGGAGACTGAATTTATTGTTTAGTGCGGTTACTTGTAGTCCAATGTTTCACAAGTTGCCAACATGTTATTTTTAGAAGAAAAAGTCTATTTACGTTTGCACATTTGAAGTTTGCTTTTACAGTTTCAAAAATATAAAATTAAGCAGCTGATGGGTACTTGTATAGGGTATTGTGGGATCTGGATTGTGCTACGTGGGAATGTCATGGTGTCTCCAGCAAAGAGGTCCGGTTTTCACGTCTAGCTTCATCCCTTTGATTCAAGTCTTTGCAGCATTTTTCAGCTTTTTTTTTCTTCATGAGCAAATTTACTGTGGAAGGTAACCTACTTTTTTTTCTTTCTATTTATTTATATATCTTTATGCTCATATGTTTCATATATCTTACCATTTCAACATGATTACAAAAAAAAACAAAAATCTAATCATTTCAACGTAACAAAAAAACGATTTCAAGTCTGCATTTGATCAAACGCATCATGATATAATGTTGCATAATTCATACTTAAGTTGCATTAACTTGGTTGAATATCATTGAAACATATCCAGACCTTTCATCTGTGAGATAAATACGATTGATCATGGTGGAGATTGAGATAAATATAAATCTAAAATAAGGACACCTAACTTTATGGGTTTTTTTCCGCCTAACGTACGATAGATACTAAGTGGTTCTTTTTGACATTTGTTACTAATAGTCACATGAAATGTGTATGTGGTATGACAAAAGTGTGATAGGATCAATGGTCATCATCGTGGGACTTTATATACTTTTATGGGGCAAAAGCAAGGAGAAGCCTACACAAGTTACCAAACAAGAACCATTAAATCTCGATCTTGAAGATTGTGGGACAGCTCCGAAGGAACTTAACAGTGCTCCCCATCCAATCTCTGAAAAATAGTTATTTCTTTTTTCAAACCAACTTTCATAAAACTAGACTCCATCTATGGAGGAATTGTTCAACAGTACAACTTTAACATATATTTTTAGTTGTTTGTGCTTATTGTCAATGAATTCCTAAGACTTAACATGAATGTCTAACAGAAAATCATAACACTTAACTGTTATACATAAAAAGCATATGTTGAGATTTCAAGTTCCAGAAAGTAATGTTTGCCAATAAATATCAAAGTTATATTGGATCTAACTAGGATTTATATATCAATGTAGAACACTTATCAAAAGCCCGTCTAGCTCAGTTGGTAGAGCGCAAGGCTCTTAACCTTGTGGTCGTGGGTTCGAGCCCCACGGTGGGCGATTTCCTTTTGTTTTAATGTATCTCTTTATATTATTTTATATTTCAAAAATCATAATACAATTTATCCGTGTAGGAATTTCGATACGTAAATTAACATCAAAGCAGGGTCTATGTATAAAGCCAATAGTCAACATGATTTACTGTCTTTCTTGGTATTCTTGGCTGGAGAAAATAGTTAGTTTTGGTATGCTATATTACCGTTGGTGAGATCATCAATAAGCAATAAATACAGAATTATACTACGCAATTATTAAATGTTAAAATAATGAAGGGACCAAATCTATGAAAGATCTTAAAGTAGGTTTACAAGACAAAACCTTAGTGGTGTCAAGATCTTCCAATGTGTTGGTCTTCTTATGCTCTCCTGCAGTAAAGCCAAAACATATCTAGAATGAAGAAATGCTCAGTGCTTTTACTAATTATTTTATAATAAAGTTGGGTTTTTTTAAAGGAGAAAGAAAGTGTTCTTAACTTAAAATGATTACCAAAGCTTAATTAAACATAAAACTAAATTAAAAAAAATAACATAGAAATGCTACAAGTATTACAAACTAGTATATATTTATACTGTTGGGATTATAGGTTATGTCTACTGTGGAACATCTACAAGGATGACGTGCTGTCCATGACAAATCATTTTTTAATGTCTTACCAATTGATCTGGTCATCACGGTAGGAACGCATCAACGCATTTGGTACTATAGAATGAAACTTTTTTAAAGGGATCATCACTGCACTGTTTAATCCTAGTTCAAAGTGTTTTCCAGTTAATTGTTAAAAGGTAGTTGTATTTGTATAGTTTGTTACCGGACTACCAAATAAACAACATGGCCAAATGTAAAACCTAAATTTTCCATGTAGGTGTGATTTTGTTTCAGGCTCGAACTCTGAGAGAATGTTTTAGCACATTTTTTAAGTTTCATCTACGATTTTACCACAGCCATGCATGTACAATAATCATTATAGAAAGCAACAAATCGACAAGATTTTCTTCTTCTTGGGTGTCCATCTTACTTCTCTTATCAAACCCTAGTTGTTGCTACACCATCAAATAATTTGATGCACTTGAAATCTTTAAACTCCAATCATCATTACTCGTCGCTCTCACTTGCTCCTTCTCGGCTCTAGTCAACACGGTTCTCATTGCTCTCCCGGACTTTAGTTTCCTTCCTTGTTGCAGCAATGTTGATGAGGTCGTACGATTCTTGTTATGTCGTATAAATTGATATAATGAATTTTTTAAGATACTCAAAAAATGTTGATGTATACATATTATTTAATAAATGATTTTTGTGGATGCAAACGTATACTTTAGGATGCATTGATGTTGTACTTGTATTTTTATCTTCACGATATCGAAGACTCTTGTCACCAGCATCTCCGCCTATTAAAACAAAACGAAATAGATAAAGTAAAAGAAAGTTGGTAATGGTTATTTTATTAAGCTAAACTTCAGAAGAAAAAAAAGTATACGAGGAAAGAGTAAGATGACAAAGAAAAGTCAAATTAGGGATCTTTATGTAAAGTAGGAGATAGACTAGGGTATGGTTCTCTACTTCTCTTCTAGGGTTTGAATGATTATATGGAGAGCTAGTACTATGATTGTGAATTTCATCAGGTTATGAAAGAGAGATTCTTCCAAAAAGAAATTCTCTCTTCTATCTTACTGTTTTGGAAGAAGAGATACATACATATGAAGGAAGTGAAGGTCAATAAAATTAGTTACAGTTTGAATTTCTTTTTTCTGGACTCATGGGAGTAAAAGTTTCATTAGTCTCGTGATTTGATTAATTATTCATTAATACTTTTACACTAAAAACGAGACTCGAACATCAGAAAACACAATTTGTCACCAACTATGCATATTATTGGAAGAGAATTTAAACGTTAATTTTCTAAAATGGTTTAGTGTGGTGAAAATATAACTGTTCAACATAAATTCTCATAAATCATATAAGGTTATCTGTTGTAAAGTCGTCTTGTAATAATTTTTGTGGTGTATTAATAGCAAAAAGATTATAATCAATGATTTGTTACGTTGGCCCCTTGAAGATATATAGAAATCAGTTTCTTTTTTTTTTTCCTAACATGACTTGTGGGCATGGGCATAAAATCCGCAATCCGAACAAAATCCAAACCAAAAAATCTGGTTTGTATCCGGACTGAAATGTAAAAAAAAAAATACTTAAATGGATTTTGTAGAGTGTTACAAAACATGTCTGAATTCAAAGTGTTATTAACCAAATTCGAACAGGTAATCCAAAAAATTCAAAAAATATCATCTGAAGGTCCAAATTAATCGGCTATAGAAATATTTGAAACATAAATACGTATTTCTAATATTCAATTCCATATTTATTTTGATATAATATCTAATAAAAATAAGTATTTAAAATTTTAATAAGTATCTTAAATACGCAATTCTATATAAATTAATATTTGTTTTTTTATGTTTTACTTGTAAATTTAGATTCTATTCCAGGTACATCCAAATCGATTCCAAATCGATCCGATATGGTTATTTTATGAGTTTTATGATATGATACAAATCAGAATCGAAACCATATATTATATTCGAATCCGACCCATAGTTGTAAATTTACTAGAACGGAACCTACGGTGTGGTACAAATTAGAACCTAAATCTGAAAGACTCGACCTGTATGCCAACAGATAACCGAACGCTCAGATCTAATTAGTTGGGTTGGTCAGGGTTCTAATCCCACTCTTGATCAGTAGGATTGGGTAAGACAGATTGTTTCAAGCATACAACAACAGCTAAATGAAATGGTAGAAGATACATGAACACACTCATGCATCCAAAACATCTATTTTAATTGTTTGAATTTGGTTTGTTCTCTTTTGCCACTGACGTTCTCTTGTGTTTTGAAATTTAACATGTCACACGTCAATGTTTGATTCCCAGCTCTACTGTACTCAAATAGCTTGATTAGTTATCAAATACTGATATAACAAGATCATAATATGATACGCCAAAAATGTATTTTACATTACATTTGATCTTTATACAAAGTTTCTACATACAACACTCTTGGGTGGTACAAAACCACACTCAACAACAATGGTACAACACACAAAGAGAAGATAAGTCTTGTCTTCTCGATTATTTAACCTCACATAAGAAGAGAAGATGGAAGAAAAACAAACCCTTTTTGTTTCCTTCTTCATCCAAGAACACACCAAACTACACATTTACTCATCCTCCATCACTCACGAGGTGCATTCTTCTTGAACAACGCATAAGCATCGCTGTAAATAGCTATTGCATTAGCCAATACCGCAAGAACAATCATGAAAACGGCTAAGATCGTGTCCCTGCTTGTTGCTTTGCCATGACGATCCCTGCAAGAACATAACAAGAACTCTCTGCTTAACAAAGTACACTAAAAACAACAACTCTGTTCATATTCACATAACCAATCAAACTTACTTTAGTATAATAGAAGCTGGGAATATGAAGCCGAGACAAACAGCAGCAGTGGCTCCAGTGAACTGGAAAGCATCCCAGATGCTTGGGATGCAGTTTGCACCCAAGAAGATGACAGAGATGAGACCAGCGCTGAGGCAACCAAACCTAACATTTGAGGTAGTTAATGATGGAGCAGAAGGGAACAAGAGGCCATCAATGTTAATCCTCAACGGGTAGAAAACAATAGGGAACACAAGCATAAGATGAAGAGCGTAGCTAACTCGAACGGCGTCGTTGAGGACAGAACCAAGAGGGATTCCAAGATCAGTGTCGAAGTTTGAAAGGACATCATCAAGAGTATCGTCTCCAAACAAGAGGAACCCAAAAATGCTTATCATTATGTATACAGATGAGCAGAGCATAAGAGCTGATCTGACCACAGGTTTTATCTGAGACTTGTCGTCAAGCTCGTTTTGTATGCTGTGAACTGAAACAAATCAAGCAAAACCAATGAGTCTTTTTTGTTCATTTTTCAAAGCTTATGATTCCAATCAAGAACAGAGGATTCATTACCATTGTAATGGCAAATGAATGCGGTGACAAGAACTGGTACAACTGTGAAGAGATTCAAGAAAGATGTTAAGTCACTAACATCTGGTAACAATCTTGGCATCGCCACGCCACCATTGATAAACTTCATGATAGATATCCCTGCTGTGATGATGAGAAACACAACGGCTAGAGCTACTGATACTGCAGATGCATATCTCAAAGAATCTGCAAAAGGAAGCATAACCAAGTTAAACATTGGTTTATAGCCCCTTAATTTTTCGAAAAATAGTCCGCAAAATTGTTATATATATATATATATATATATATATATATATATATATATATATATATATTATTTTTATAGAAACATTTACTAAATCATCTACAACCCCTAAAATCTCAGGTCCAGCCAATCAGCAAAATAGTTAAAAATATTATTTTTGTAGAAACATTCAGCTCCTAAAATCTCAGGACCGGCCCTAGGCAAGCAATGTTCGTTGTTAGAACCGAAACACTAACCAATTCGCTTGTAGCAAGCCAAAGGAGCAAAGACACCAAGAGTAGTAATAAGAAGAACAGCAAGTCTCCCATTCCACCAATGGTGACCAAACCATCCTTCAAGAACACCATAATGATGAACACCATCTTCTGTCTTACCAGCCAACACATCACCTTCAAAAACAACAACAACAAAACAACCAAACAAGAGTAAGATTCAAAACATTAACAGATTATTAATTAGACTAAGACATGATTAGTAACCATACCAATGATGATCATGTAAACAATCAGAACACCAATATTATTAACCAAAACAGCAACTTGAAGCAAAACCCTCCCAGCCTTCCCAAAAGATTCACCCATCAAGCCACCATAAGACTTACTCTTCTTAACCTTACTAAACCTAAGCAAGAACTCAATAGACGCATCGCTCAAGAAAGCCATGACAACAATCATCGTGATCCCAAGAACTAGCCCTAAGATCTTCATCGTGGCGGGCAAGGCCATGATGCCAGCACCGATTATAGTCGTGGCGAGGTTGAAAACTGCGCCGGTAAAGGAAGCTCCGTTGAACTCTTCGTGAGCAGCTTCGTCTCCTTGAGTTTGTGGGAGTAAAGGAGCCTGGAAGTCGGAGGAGGAAGAGCATCTCCTTGGAATCGGAGCAACGTCTTGAATCGTCATCTTGTGATTGATAACGAAAGTCAATGTCTTTTTGAAACGCGGTGAAGCTTTAAAGGAGAGAACTTTGATTCTCAAAAACAGAGCAGAGACGAAAACAGAGCAGAGACGAGGTTTGATTCAGGTAGGGATCGAAATTTCTAAAATTGATCGAAACCCAGTTGATGTTGATTGAAACTGGATGAACCCAGATGAAAAAATTACAGAAAGTCGAAACCTTTGAAGTGGAGATTTGGATTGTGTCCAAAGAAGAAGAAGAAATGTTTGAGGAGAAGGGAGAAACAGAGGATGTGGGATGAAATTATAGGCTAATGAATTTTGTCTGTGCTGACGTGGAAAATATTATAATAATCGGTACGGAACTGTTACAAAGGGAAATATAAGAAAGGGATTTTTATTGGATTGGTATTGGCTAATAGGTGACGTGGTTGGCTAGAATTGTAAAACTGAATGAGTAAATTCACTGTATTTGTGATGACGACTTGTTTGACCTTAGGTGGTGCTGATTAGATTTCAGGAAAGAATCGACGCCGTTTAGTAAATATACTGAATCTAAAATAATACACCACTAGCGTGGATGTGCATAAACACAATGAGATTTTTTTGTAATTTGTTTAATTGTTTTTGACTTTGTGTACATAAAAGCTTTATTTCATGTGGTGTTTTTGTTGATATAGTTGTCAATAACCATTGATTTCAGGTTTTATCTTTTTTACTTTAAATGTTGCAGACCTCTATTATATGAAGTGTATGTTGTCAACAAATTTACATTTTGGTGATTATTTTTGGAAGTGTATGTTGTTAGTTGGATAAGTGTTTTGTATTTTAGAAAAAATTTCTGTCGTATTTTTGAATATAATTTGTTATACTAGTAAATAGGATCCAGGACATTATAGTTGAGATAAACTTATCAGTTTCAAAAGAAAATCAAGTACATACAAGATTATTCTCGTATATATATATACTAGATGCATAGTCCCCGCGCAAGCGCGGGGGTTGGATACATTGTTGATGCGAGGATTGGATACATTGTTGATGTGTTGTGTAGTTTTGTGTATGAGACTTTGCTGTTTTTTTTTAACGTTTTTTTATCTGACTTATCTGTAATGGTGATGAATGAAACATTAGAAGTCACACAACTTGATTAGTCTGATAAAAGAATAAACATCAAATTCATATGGGTATATGAAGTCGCGATTAAGCTGCCTAAGCATAGATCCAACGCGCTACTCAAATAGGCGGGAAAGAAATGCCCTTCTAGCATTGGCTCCCTTTATTAGTGATTTTATCGAGCATTACTGTTATTAGTGCTTTCATGTAAAAAATAATTTAATGGAGACAAGACAAAAAAATGACATGTGTTTATTAGTGTAATTTTCTTTCTGAAATTATGTTGTATATATATATATATATATTTTTCTTTTTTAATTGTGATGTATATGAGATTTATGGCCGATCTGAATGGTTCGGGATAAATATTTATTATTGAAAAATATGTTTTTATTTTATTTGATTATTATAACTGAATTGAAATGATATTGGAGGTTAGAACATGATAACATTTCTTATAAAAGTATCTAAGATGGTCTCATAATGTTTCAAATTCTTAAGCCATTTTGTATCCCAACAACCAGCATAAAAGATCATTCTGAATCTCCCTAAGCTTTTAGGTATCCCGAAAAGCTCAAATTAAAAAAAAAAAATTACATGCAAACACTGCGTTTCGAACCCACGCGCTCGCGGTACCAACTTCTAGTCACCAACTTACACCACTGGGCCATTTCATCACTCATCAATAACATTTAATCTTACAAAATGTTATACGTTTTTGTTTTCCCTAATAACACACGTGGGGCCCGTAAACTTGCTGAGGTGGATAGGCTTAGGAGCCTTGAAAGTGTATCATTATAATATATATTGTTTTAAGTGTAAGAATATTTATGATCATTATGCTAATAATGTCTTTCTAAAAACAACCTATGCTAGTAAAGTGTTGCTCAAGCGATGAATATATAACGCACCAAACAGAATTCCTAAACTTTATTTTGTTAGACTTTCAAAACCAAACATGTATGAAATCTAATATCTTCTGAGGATAAACATCCATACTGTGCTACCATCTAATATGTAGTTTTTATGATCAATCACAATTTTGTATTAAGAAAAATTAGTTGTAGAAGCCCTTTCTCAGAAAAAAAAAAGTTGTAGAAGAGTAGAAGTTATCAAAAGAAGACACAACTCGACTCTTAATTTATTTCAAAATAATATGTGGACAGCAGAGACTGATAGGAACTAACTCCTACTTAATTATTGCCACGCACCCTAGATAATTAATTAGATAACCGAGACTTGGATGATAATTAAGCATCTTATTATATTATAGTAGTATATAGTCACTAAATATTACCAAGTTTTGGCTCTTAGTGATAATCAAAGCGTCGATTAATCATCATGCGTCATCCTATAATGCCCATTGTTTAATCGTATACCCAGTCATATGTACATAGACTGTTAAGCAAATCAGAGCTACATATTAATATAGTAAAAGTAATACTATTCAGGTCCTGAGTTACATTATCTATTCACATTTCCTATCTAAAGAACGGGTTGCCACGTCCAGAATTTTAAAAGTACATTCGAATATTCAAAAGAACTTAATTTCCATCCTCATTTTGGTTATTCAGCAAATTAACCCTCAACAAAACGATTAGTACCACGTACGATTCTCAAATGGCTGTGTTTTTCTCTATTTTCAACAAAAAGGTTATTTCATATAGCTAATAACATGAAATAATTCGAGCGATTGTTATCACTTATCATCAAGGACATGCTGACATCTTAACCAAAGACAGACATGTAAAATAAAGTGATTGTTGTTTTGTACAGGTTTGTAATCTTCTTTTGTTCATTAAAGTCGATGCTCAACTCAAACACTTTTATTGAGTGGCATTCTCACAAGTATTAAAAAGTTTCCTTGTACTGTAGTCTTAAATCTAAGCAAAAAACATTTTTTCAAATTGAAATAAGAATGTTTATTCAAAATTCGATAAATATGTAACTGAAAATTTGAATGTTTGATTGGAATAAATTCAACATTCTTCCAAAAAAAAAATTGAATGTTTCAAACCTATAAATCTTTCAACATATAATCCATCCCGTGACTAGTTCCTCCATACGTCACACCATCACAGTCAAAGGAAACACACAGATATTAATTAATACGGTTATACCTAAGTAGGTTTTGGTGCATGTATGTACCTGGTCTAGTTTATACACTTCGCTCTTGAAAAAAGATTGAAGGGAAGTCACTCATCCACGTAACTGATTAATTAGAGAGATAATTATTAATTTACTTACATATTGACAATATATTTGAATTTTAGTGTTATTTATCGAACTATTACATACTCGTATTAAGAAGACAAAACAAAACACTAAATGTTCCCGCATGTTCTACATGACCTGAGTTCGCATCCGGCTGCGGCTACTACATTTTTAATACCACACACGACTATGTTTTATCAATATGTCGGTGATATGACTGCATGACGTGGCCACAAACAAGATTGACAAGCAACACATGTGTTGCAACTCTTGTCCTTACGGGTCACATGAGACCATCCAAAACATACGTGTCAGAATCTGAACGGAACATTCGAAAACCTAATCTTTTAATGTTTTTATCGACCATTCGAGAACTCAATCATCTACACAGCTTAACACTCACAAAATCAATGGCAGAGTTTCATCTTCCTTCCGAGATAGAAAACGAAGCAGAGCAAACTTCATCAGCTCATCAAGATTTCGAAGAGAACGCTACTTACATCGATGATGAGTACCTCGACTACATCCATTACTTGGCTTCACGGAGCAACCATGATATGGAGACGTTTGGGTCTTACGATGAAGTCTTCGGTCGAGTGTTGGGAAACTCAACTTCCACGCGGTGGCCTGAAACGGCCGAGGAGCTTCCGGTGGTGAACTTGACGGCTGAGGAATTGACGGAGAGAGGTTTGGTGGTTTGTGCAATATGTAGAGAGAAGCTTGTTCCTAGTGAGAGACTCTCTGAGCTTCCTTGTCTTCATTATTACCACAAAGACTGTATCTCGAGTTGGTTGACTAATAGAAACACTTGTCCTCTTTGCCGTCACAATGTAAGAAACTAGTTTGGGTTTTCTTGATTTTTTTTGTTTTGTTGAAGTTGATAAAGTCTTTAATATTTCTAACCCCGAATATATCAGAAGAAAGATCAAGTAAAGTGGCTATATCTTTACCTATTCAAATGGATTTGTTTGGACTAATAAACTTTGAAAGTTTGGTTAACGATTTTGTAGAAAAAAAGAAAAAAGATCAATGGCAACTAAGATTCTACATGTGTTTAACTTTGTTTCCAGGAAACTTATGTTTCCTCTGGCTTTGCTTGACTTTGTATAAATCACAAATGGTATCCTTCAAAGATTTCAATATAAATCTTCGGATGATAAATTAACACAATTTTCTATTTCAATTTTCAGGCTAGTATAGCCCAACTTGTGTTCTTTTGTCATAAATTGAGCCCAAGTTTAGTATATGACAATTATTTAATGGATACCTCTTTTTGTTGTTTTAACTGGTATGTTTTGGACAAAAGAAACTGGTATATGTTTATTTGGCTCTGCTAAAACATCTTATATTTCATATGGTTACAACTGTCCTAAATTTTTGTGATCACATCATCTGAGCTAAAACGTCTATCTCATAGCAAAAGAAATGATTGAATCAAGAAAGTAATTAAAAAGGTAACTCCATTGTTATTGATAAGGAAGGGTGAACTGAATATACATTCGTGAATAACATTTTGATAAAATTTAATATATAGTCAGTTACGACAAAGCCACATGAAATGTTCTTACCTACTCCATATTTATATTATAAATCTCTCTTATAATCTAAATTTCATAATTCCATTTACTGGCTTCATACATAACGACAATTAAAACCCTCATTTCACGCAATTGCGCCCATCAATCTTCTCTTAAGTTCCATCCTGCAATAATAACCAATATCAACATTGTTCAACTAAATCAAAGTCGATATTAACGGGACTACTTATGATAAAACATTTTACCTCAAGAGTTGACGGTCAAGGGCTCCACTGGCCATCATTCCCCGGTTCTCATAAGCACGTCTGACAAGATACGGTATAGCAGTTTCCACCGGTCCAAACGGCATGTATTTGCTGACATTGAACCCGGCTCTCTTTAAACCAAAGGACAATGCATCTGACATACCATATAGTTGCGCAAACTCTATCGTCCCGTTCTTTTTATTGATATTGAGCTCACTCGCCTTCCTTGATGCAAGTCTCCCTAAAATTTAGAATTCTCCAATAATCAAAATCTATTTCACTATGAAAAGGGATAACCCTACATGGTCGGTTCAAACACAGTCTGATGAAACATTCGTCTTATCCCCAAATTTTTAAAAGTTAGTATAAATAAGTAACATGGTCCGGAAATTATCAAAACATTTTCCAATAAAATTAACACAAAATGTTATGATCCCCCAAAATCTCAGATCCGGTTATGATACTAGGTTTAAATTGTACTTAAGTGGCTTACCCGAATCAGCGTTATGTGTTGCTAGAACAACACCGAAACCCGATCCGTTCGAGGCTTTCTCCATTAGGAAGGTCATGCAGTCATTGTAGCAAGCATGCGTGTTCTGAAGTGTATCATGTATCGGTGACTTGTGTCCCAAGGAATCTGCCAATTTACCTTCACTACACATATAAGCGCCTCTCACCAACTTAAACCCCATAGGAACACTTTCTTTCTCGGCTTCTTGCACAACCAAATGCAACCTCTCGCCTGCGTCTCTCAAGTACGCCTGAATAGTGTTGTAAACGATCGGTCTGTCTTTGTCACCATTGAACATGATCGCTGATGAGTAAGCCATGTAATCTATCGCTGGTTGGAGGATTGTGTCTTCAGCATCAATCAGCAACGGTACGTTGGACTCTTGACATTTCCGACATATGTCTTGGATCCTTGCGTGAGCTGCTTCGAGTTCACGCTCTTCTTCAGCGGTTAAAGGTTCCGGTTCTGAGTTTGTGTGGTAGAGAGGACTAGACTCCGAGAAAACCGTGAATGATTTGAGCTTCCATGAGAGTTTGAAGTTCTTACTCTTGTGTTCCCACCGAAGCAAATCGCTCACACGTTTTAGAAGACTGATGGGACATATCGCAGTTATTTTCACGACCACTGAGCTAAACTGTTAGGTCAAAGAGAACAATAACATGTCACTATACAACCAACCTGAACAAACCGAGTCTTCACAAAAATAAACCGGAGAATATTCCTAGAGTTCTTTTTTTTTTTAATTTAATTTTCTAGTTTTCTTTCAAAAGTTCTAGTCCACCAACAAGGTCAGATTTTCAAGCTTCAACGTGGACCTTGTGCGTAAAAAATCTAGTCCGATAATTACGGTTGGTTTGAATTTTTTACCGTTAGAAAGTAAATAAATTAGACGCAAAGTCATTTTCGTAAGAGAAAAAAGCAAGTAGGCTATGTACTTGCTACTAATCAAAGCAGTACCGGTCCTGACATGGGAAATACCAGAAGCAATTTTCAAAAAATTAGCCATTTTTATAAGAATGTTTATATCTTATAATAATAATTTTCTTATAAAAAATGCTGAATTTTTCAAGTAGTTTTTGAAGGTCGGAAGCGGTTGCTTTTAATGCTTCCCCTCATGACCGGTACTGAATCAAAGGTTATGAAAACGCGTAAGAGTAATTATTATATGATAGAAGTGAATGTGCACGCCTATGTATCTATTCAAAGTGCACTTTGTCAGGGTACGGAGATGTGACTGTCGAACCATGTTGCCCACATTAGATTATTACATGATTAATATATGATTTTTGTGAAATATATGATTCTTTTTAGGAAATAATTATGTAATAATTAAATTCAAAATATCGTGTGACAGATTTTTATTTTTTTGTCTGTTATGGTATGATTTGTAAAATGTTTATTTCCGGAATGTAAAGTTAAGATTTGCTTACGTGGGATGTTGGTAAGGACTTGGCAGCTTCAATGGTTCGAAGGAAATGTTGCATGTTATCATCACAAGAGGCAGCGTCATCGGCATGTTCAACGCCGTACACAAGCATCCCTTTAAGACCCGTCGCCTCGTAAACACTCCTCACACGTTCCGCGGCCGCGTCGGCGTCTTCACCGGCGCAGAAATGGTCATAAAACGTACGTTTCACAAGGCCAAGAACCACGCCACGTGTCAAAGCGTTGTCCATGAGTTTAGAACTCATCACCCACGATCCCACGTCCACCATTGGACCTATCGCCGCCGCATGCAGCACGGCGGTGGAGCGGAGGAGCTCAGGGGTGGGGACGGAGGCGAAGAGACGTGCTTGGTCGGAGAGATCGATGTCATGGTGAGTTTGGTTGTGTTTTGGGTGGTGGAGAGGTGGCTCCGGTGCTTGTTGTCCGAAGGAGAGAATCTCCGGGACGGCGGCGGTTGAAGCCGTCACGGTGGGAGAACCCACCGGACGTAAAGAGGAGAAACAGTGAGGTCGCCGGATAAAGTTTGTTCGGAGGAGACGGGTTGCCATAAAATTCAAAGATTATTTTTTTTTTTTTGAAAACGAAAAAAAAAAAAAATTTGAGTTCCTCTCTTTTGATGTTTCTTCGGCTTTATCGCTGTTTTTTTCTCTCCTCTTCTTATTTCTCTCAACGCTTTGTTGTGTGATATATTTTTTTCCTCCTTTGTTACTGCCTCATGTATTTATATAAGAAGATAAAACCATATGGATATACATACACGTTCGGATAAATATAGATGCCAATGTGTACAACTCTTGATCGGACTGAGATAAAATTAAGGGGATATCTAAAATTGCAATTGAATCTTTATAAAGAAAGTCAAAAAGTCTTCAATTTTTCTTGACTAATTTGAAGATATACTTCCAATTTTACTCGAAAATAAACGTTACCACAACTCTTTCTGGTGATAACATTATGTCAGATGAATCTTTCAAAATATTGAAGTGATTTTATACTTGTTCTTACTAGAACTAAATATTATTACAATTAATGCAGTTTTGTTTTTAAGAGATTCATCTGAAAAACTACCAATACAAATGCTCTAATTAGTCTAACATTAGGAAGAATCTTAAAATATCATAAACTTAAAAGACCACCGCATCTACGTGATATGGTTATTTTTAAACCATTGTGGAATGGAATCATATATGATGCGAGTCATCGTGACAAAAGAATTGAAACTTTAAATGCTTTCTCAATGCGATTCTGAAGATATCTTAATTTAAGTTTTATATAATTCCTTTTCAGTCATGGTGAGTGATAGTGAGGAATCTAGAAATACTAGCATAACGTATATTTTATCTGTAGTGTTATACTACTGCTTTCTCAGGTCTCACCAAACAATGAAGCAGACAAGCACAACGTTTTCTACTTAATTGATAATTTGACATCATAATATTCCCAAAATTTAATACAAATAATCAACAACTAGTAGTCTAGTAATGTATGAATACCAAATATTATAAAATCTGTAAAAGAGTGACTGACAAACTGAATACAATTATAGAATCAAGAAGCTACACTGTTTATTTTGGTCCACAGAAATTAGCTGTATTAAAAATACTTTTATGGAAAGGTAAGAAGAAGATTGCGCCATAATTTTCTGAGTGAGCATATTTATTTTTGACGACAAATAGTAGCAATTACGGACGATAGAGACAGCAAGGCCCTGACTATGGGATGAGTCATGAGATAACATATGTAACTGATGATTTATTATTTTAGTGTGAAGAAGGTAATATTAAATTAAAGGATTTATTCTGGCGAGACGGTGGAGGAAGAAACGAAGAATGAGTGGATGGTGAATCTGATTCAACATGAGGACCTTGACTTGTTCTTTGAATCTTTGACTTTTCTAAATTGGAATCTTTTGAATCTTAATGATCACTAATTTGAATTAATCAGCAAATTCTCTCTCCTAATACAACTAAATAGATAAAAATAGATTTGATGTAAAATTGGCTTACTGCAACACAACTCAATTTTGATTCACCCATAAATTCCTTATATTTATAACATATTTACTATATAATAATTTTAATTTATTATACTGTTTTCATAAAACGACTGATTACAAATTTGCTAATAACTGATTAGTTTATTTTGTAAGAACCATATATTTATTTGGCACAAAAGTTTAATCATATTCTAGATACACTGTCAGGTTAAATCTGAATCATTTGGAGACATCTTATTTACAGTTTTTTTTACTGGCTTCCTAATTGTGCCTATGATTTTGTTCTCATGAAATGAACTCTTATAAAAACTACTATTGTTTTAAGCAAAAAAAAAAAAAAACTACTATAGTAGCAGCACTTCTGAATGGGAGTTTTAGATTCTACTCCTTTTAATTACTCATTACTCCTTTTGTTTCAGAATATATGTCATTTTAGACTTATTTTTTTATCACAAATTAAGTGTCGTTTTAGAGTTTTAAGACAAAATTTATTAGTTTTATATAATATTCTATTTTATATTGGTTGAAAAGTGGTTTAGGTGTATAGATAATTGTGTTTTTATCTTGGAAATATGTAAAATTAAATATTTTCTTAATCTGTGTGCAAAAACTTAGAATGACAAATAAAGTGAAACGGATGAACTATTATATTATTCTTTTAACCTATTCTCCCTACCACTTAACGCTAGACGAACCTACAAAAGAAAAAAAAACTACAACAGAGAATCTTTGACAAAAGAGATCTTTACAAAAGAAAAAAAAAAGAACCAAAAGAGTAGGACCGACCTCGTCATTTTGCAAATGAAAATTATGAATCAAAATTTAATTTGCTGCGCGATTTGAGCCGCTAGATTGAGAGAAGGTGAGAGGGTCACGTGAGGAAGTAAAGAGGTCAGGCGAGCATTGGACACGAGTGTTGCCAGCTATCGTCCCCATTTTTCATTGGTCCAGCCCAAATCTTCCATGCAATATTCGTTTCAATTTTCTTTTTTGAAGTGATTCTTTTGTTGGTGCAACTGTAAATGACCTTGATGGTAATGCATTATTAATTTTTTTTAAAAAAATACTTTGATGTGTGAATTAGACTACATTATGCCTTTTTTTTTGAAGAAAACATTATGCATTTCTTGGGTTACCAACTTACCATTTTTTTTTTGTCAACCACCAACTTACCATTATTGATAATAAGTACAGTAGTCATTAAGCATTTGCTAGTTTGGGACGGCTATGTAGGATATGATTGGTTACGCCCGGTGGTTGTTGGTTTCCTCAAATAGATCTGTACGTTCGCTTTTCTCAGTTTCTCGTCTCTTGGTGCCTCGTTCCGGCATGTGCCATGTGCGGTCTTGTTTATCAGCTGTTGAAGGCTTTTTAGCATATTTATCTTGACACATGAGCAATACTCAAAATCTGTATCGCGGTTCACAATTTCGAAGTTGTCGGTTTAGACCGATTTTTGTATAACCTTTTGGTTTATTAGGTTTCTTTAAACTGGACTCATTTGGGATGCCGTAAAAAAATCTGTTTTATTGTAAAAATGAATCTAGCAGGAAAAAAATCACCAGTCTTATTCATTACTTTTTAATGATTCAATTAAATTTATAAAATTAAACGTTTATAAAGTTACTACAATTAAGCGAGACTCTTAGGGGGAAAAGTCACAATATTCTTCTTAGCTAGTGAAATTATAAGATTATATTTTGCATGTTTATAAAACTGTTATCATACAATTCGAATGTATCTGCTATTATGATCAAACACAATTTTATAAGACAGAGCCCGAGCATACATCAGTGACATGGACTATGGTACTAAACGTTCACGATTTCGTTGTCTTATTCACTAAATCATCATTATTCTTCTCTTGGCTTCACCTCGTCCAGTTCACGATTCGTTGTCTTATTCATTAAATAATCAATATAGACTTGAAAATGGTATTGAAAACAAAATGTTTTTTTTTTAATACAAATTTCAAAACAAAATGTATTAAAAAAACAAAATGTATTACTATATAGAATTTTACTATTTTGCTCTTAGCTTCAGTTTTCGTCCGCAATAGAGAGTTGAAAACGGTAATAGAAACATAATGTATAAATAAACACAAGTCCAGAATTTACCACAAAGGAAAACACTAAAAAAATGAAGAACGCAAAAAATCAATCAACCACATGTTAATGCACCGATGAAAACCTCACATCGGTAATTTTAAAAATGAATGGACTAATATATAAAAAAAATAAGACTTCAATTGGTACTACATAAGAAAATCTACAAAATTTAACATGGTATATTTCATTCCATAGATATTGTTCGACATTTAAATATGAAGAAGAATGTCAAAGGATGAAAATATTTTACATCGGTAGATGACTTGATGAACTAATATATAAGTAATTCTGATCAATCTAGTTATAGCCAATTGGTTTCTTGAACAAACTATCTTTGAATTCATTTATAATTATTTTCATAAACATTTTCTTGGTGTGTATTATTTTCGTGGGGAGTAGTGTGACCTACTGTGAATTATATAAATGACTTTTGTACTTTATGCAAACGAGTTGATAAGTCCTTTCGAAACCCGTACATGCCGAAGATTTCTAGAATAATGAAAAAGACAGTCTATGAGCTGCCAAATTAATTTAATCGTGATGAGTCAACAATGAGTAGATGCCAACAATGTTTTGAAACTTCTAAAAATAGAAACCTATATATACATGTATATATGCATTCCACATATCATTTCATCATACTGAACTCTAGATCAAAATTTCAAATGCATATGTATATTATATGCACTTAGAATGTTGTTCTGTTTATAAGAAAAAAAATTATTCAGTTAGCCTCTGTAAAATAGTACGAGTTCTATATACATCATTACGTGACTACTTAATACTTTAATTTTAAAATTCGTTAAACAGTCAAATAGATCAATATATGAATAAAAATAGCTAAACATTTTACCATAGAGGCAATGATTTGAAAGACCAATTATAAGATTAGTTTTCGGTCTTTCACATGTAAACTTTTGTAAAACTATTTGGTCTTAAGGTCATTTCGTACTTTGATTCAAGAGTTATATCAATCACTTTAACAAATGCATGTCATTTTCGCCAATCAACACATCGATAAGGATAAGTTGATGGAAACTATAGAAATTGATCTCATCGACCAATGCAACACGTCGATATTGGATCGATTTTTTATCAAATTGATTTACTTATCAAAATCAAGTTTATATTCGTGTAGCTAAAGACACATTTGCGACTGATTTTAGTTATGTAATTCGAGGGCCCAAAAAATGGGCCTGAGCAAAAATATTCTATAATGGCCTACTAAGGAAGTCTTTTTCAATCTAAACCGGTCTATTTTATATTCTTATCCAGTTTGGGTTAATTTGAACCGGTCTAACTTTGACTTCATAACGTCATCATCGCTTCGACTTGATCCACTCCTTACCCGTAAGATTCTCTCTCCGCCGCCCAAAAAAAAACAAAAGAAAGAAGCAATGCCACTGTCACTAGTTCAAGCCGCTTCAGTGTCCTACTTGAGATCCCAATCAACGCTTCCTAAACCCTCTTCCTCCTCTGTTTTACTTCTTAAAAAGTCAATCTTTCCTGATTCATCAAAGTTAACAACTTTCCACCGAATCTTTAAGAAACCCTCAAAAGGGTCTGCTCGTGCTTCTTTGCTCGAGGCGCCTGTCTTGTGGGCTGGTAGAATCTGTGTGTTTTACGCGCTGGTTAAAGCTGGTTTAGCTGGGTCCAAGTCTAACCCCATCGTCTCTGGTGAGTGTTTTTCTTTTTAAAATGGTTTTTTTTTAATTGTTTTGATTTGATGTTGTTGGATTGTGTTTAGGTTTGGAGAGTGGTGGTGTTGATGTTGAAGATGATGGTGGTGTGGATCTTGGGTTCTCGAAGTGGATACAGAACATTAAGGGCAAACCAGGTTTAGTTTAGTTTCATCACTTGTTGACTTGTTCTGTCTTATGGGATTTGTGTCCAAGTCTAGAGCTTTTGATCTAGTTTCACTTGTGACATATGTTTTCTATGATTCTTTTAGGTTAGAGTTGGTTTAGTCAATGGTTTAGTAAAAACATGGAACATACTAGTTGTACAGTGTACTAATTTGTGTCCAAGTCTAGAGCTTTTGATATAGTTTAACTTAGTGGCAAAGATTCTCTATGACCCTTTTAGATATAGAGATGGTTAATGGTTTAGTCAGTGGTTTAGTAAGAACATGGAACATACTAGTTGTACAGTGTACTAATTTGTGTCCAAGACTCCAAGTCTAGAGATTTTGGTCTAATTTAACTTAGTGGCATATATTCTCTATGACCCATTTAGATATAGAGATGGTTTAGTTAATAGTTTAGTAAGAACATGCAACATACCGTTTGTTTATACTTGTATATATATAAGTTGTACAGTACACTAATTTGTGTCCAAGTATAGAGCTTTTATTGAGTTCACATAGTGACGTATATTCCCTGTGACCCATTTAGATATAGAGATGGTTTTAGTCAATGGTTTAGTAAGATTTAAGATCATGCAATATACCAGTTGTTTATACTTGTATTATATAAGTTGTACAGAGTACTAAGTGTAAATAATCTCAAATTCTAAACCGAATAAGGTTGATCTTTCTGGAACCAGACTATTTACGAATAAGTTTGATCTTGTTCATCTTTTATTGATCTTTCTGGAACCAGACTATATACGAATAAGTTTGATCTTGTTCATCTTTTACTGACCTCTATTCTTATAATAAAACAAGAAAACGCACTTTTGAATTTCTTCCAACTGCTATTCTTCTGTGGTCTGTATATTCAGCTATAGTTTCTATTTCGTTATTTGAGAAAGAAAGAGAATGCTTAGATGTTGAGCATGAGACAAATCTTTTTTTTTTTAATGTTTTGTATGGTCAGATAAAGATGCAGCTGATAAGAGGAAGCTAGTGAGCAAATGGCACCCAACCACAAAGGGAACACTTAGAAGGAACTACAGGGTACCTTCCAAAGGTGAAGGAAACCGTCTCCTCAAAGCCATTGCCTCTCTTCTCTCAGATGATGACCATTTCAGAGATGCAACGTCTCACAAGGTAATAATAATAATAATCTACACTTGTTTATTTTCTATCTCTCTCTGCGTTTGGTGAAAGAACCAAGTTGAGACACTCTTGCAGGGCTGTCAAATACGGCGAGAGAGTGCACACGGTCAAAGCGTCTGTTGCAACAACGTGAGAGCTCTGTTTGATGAGTTACCAACGCCACATTTGGTGGTTGAGATCACACCTTTTCCAGCTGGTCCGCTTACAGAGATTGATTACCTTAAGGCTGAGAAGCTTGAAAAGGTTCTAAGGTCAGGCCCCAACATTTGAAACCCTTTGCTACTCAAAGAGTGTTGTATTGTGTCTAATTCCAAAACCTGTACATACTCTAGTCTACCATCTTTTGACACTATGAAAGTGTTGGTTTCTCGTCAAGCTTGTATCATTACCATTATCATGATTGAAAGATCATTTTACAGTAAAAATAAATTTCTATATTATGTGCACGTATAGATTTATGTTTGAGCATTGTGCAACATAGTTAATGATTTCCTCAGGCCATATTCAATGTTAAGTATGCAAATCACAAAAGACAAGTGCAGCTAATTGCTATTGCATTTCCAGTTTTCCACCAGAGAGTTTTTGTTGGAAGTTTTTTCTCCTAATCTTGTATAAACCCAATAAATCTCATATATGGCTTCAAATGATACATATATGTTAACCAAACGCTTAACACAATCATCATTTTTTAAATTCTGGTCAGAATGTCGGAGACTCATTTTGCAATCCCAGATACTAAGACAATTTTTTTTTGGTTAATTATACGCTATTACAATTTATAAAAAACATTACATAGACAATATTATAGCCGACAATTCTACTTGCTTTATGTGGATTCACGTCTTATTGTATCCTCTTAAATCGTCTTATGAGATTTAATCTTGACGATACTCCTTACACTATGTTAAAGTTTTCTTGTAATCTTTTTCTCTAATTTTCTACATAATTCATTTTCTCTGAAAATTGAAAAAATTTACATAATCTTGGGTTTAAACCTCAGACTTGGTGTAGAACCTTTAGAGCATTGACCAATAGGGCACAGTATTTTCCACTAGGACAATGTTAGAAGAAAGCGATACTCAGAGAAATATGGTCAAAGATGCCATAACCTTCACCAAGTTACAACAATTGGTATGGGCTTTGAACAAGAGGAGGCCCAACAAATATATATTTACTTCACGTTACTTCTTTTTGTTTTTTTTTTTTAACACTGGATAATTATGCATTACAAACTATGAAAAATTACAAAGACGATATTACAGCAGACAATTCTACCTGCCTTATGCGGATTCACGTCTAACTACATCACCCTGAGCCGTCCTGTGAGATCCATTCCTGACGGTACGCCTTGCGCCATGCTGAAGATCTCTTGTAAGTTTTTCTCCAATCTGTCATAATTCGCCATTCACCTTCTCCGGGAATTGAAACCCTCCTGGTGTAGAAACTGCATAGCCTGGGATTCGAACCCCAGACCTGGTGTAGAAGCCTTTAAACCTTAATCACTAGGATACGGTGCTTCCACAACTTCTTTTTGTTTACAACACTTATTTCAGGTCTCTTCTATACACTGATAAGTGATAACTGATTCATAATGTTGGTGTCCTTAATTTTGATACAATTTGTTTTATAATGTTCTGCGTACAACTAAAATTATTCTATGCAAATGTGATGTCCTAAACAACCGGTTCATTTGCTTATGTTCCAGACGCATACAAGTATACAACACATGTCCACTAGGACCATTACTAACAAACAAAACGATCTGTGCTGTGTCGTTCTACAACATACACAAACCCAACCCCAACCCCAACGTTCCTAAAGAAAAAGACATTTGATGCAATGTCCTTTTACCAAAAAAAAATGTTGTGAAGGAAAAAAAAATAAGGAGTGGACATGAGGAAAGGCTCTTGGGGCAGTGACTTACCCATAAAGCAGCCTATACTTTTGGGACCCCATCGCTACAGCCACGTGACCACGATTCCATCGCCAGCTCGCATTGTCTCTCCTTGTGGACCCTTCCCTAAAAGTCGTCCTTTGCTTTTTCTAAGTTTTTTTCCTTTCTTTTCTATATTTTATATTATTAAACTTTCAAGAAAAAATATTATCCTTATTGTCAACTAATATTTTCTTGGGTTGAATTATATTAACCTTTCAAGAAAAAACATTATCCAGATTATTTGTTTACTTGGACATCTATAGCATATTTTTAATTTCTCTTGTAGTTATCACTAAAACAAAATCGTTGTAGTGTTAATCTGGTGTTCTCTTCCTCTCATTATACAGAAAGAATATTATGGCCGTCTTTGCTTCAGGGTTACGTCAACGACACCAACCCCTTTTTCTGGCGGTGTGTGTGTTTCTTATATCACAATATCTAATAGCAATGTGAACATAATTTAGATTGGATGTAAACCTTTAACCAAAACAATGGTCTTTAGTTATCTAAACGTTTTACTATACATAGAAGGTTGGCATTTTTTTTTTTTGGTAAAAATGTAAAGATTAGAAGGTTGGCATTTGAAGCAAACCGGGCAAATTTAAGGAAGACAAAGTCAAATACTTAAAGCAAGATAGATGAGTGTAGTTGGGGTTTAGGTAAACACATAATTGCCTTTTTTATGCCTGAAAAAAAAAACAATCTAAGCTTCAAACCATAAAACTCATGTAATAAATAACTACAATCATCGAGTATGTGCAATAACAATTTGTACGTGTAGATAGTTAGATGTATACAACCCCACTACTAAAAAGTATGCATGTGCAATTTGGGTCAGATCACCTGATCCTACGCCATATGCAATCATGTTAAAGTACTTAGAAACATTCAAGCCTTTGAATTTGTCTTTGAGACTATGTAATATAAATTTTAGGATCAAATTTTGTTTATCACAATGGATATAGGAGTATGGCTATTGTAATATTGTCCATTTTGGTAATAAAAATTGTAAAATTATCCGGGAATATTAGAAGCTTTTAAAGTTGTCAAAATATTGAAATCTAAATACTACATAGGGAAAAAATATCATTTTTTATTTTTTACTTTATATTTGTAAGATATTTTTTAAAAGATACATTAAAATAAATAACAATTTTATTAAAGAGTTACACTATTTTTAAGAAAATAACAAAATAGATAGTCTAGCACTGTAATTTAGTAGAGTATTTGAGCTTTTTTGGTTTTGACATCATTTGAAATCTTAATCAGTTAAAAAAACTTTTTAGATATGATTTTATAAATAGAAAATACAATAAAATTAAAATATGATTTAGAAGCATTAATTAAATAATACTGGATTGAATTTAAACTCCTATTCTATAATTGAAATAACACCTCGTATCATTATCTTTTACCAGCTAATAACAGGTTGTTTACTCAAATGAAGGGAGGCAAAAACCTAAAGCTCAAGTGACATAAACAAGTAAGAATCATTCATTTTGGTATGTAAATAATACACATAGACAACCCCACTAATAAAGAGTTTGGCACATGCAATAAAGTGAAACCATATTCTGATCTCATTTTTTCCACATAACTTTTTTTTTTTGTCAGAAAACTCAATTCTCTAAAGACATTGGAGACGGGTTAAAACGGGAAAGAGTGAAAGTAAAGTCACGTCGGTCCGTTTTGGTTCTGAGAGAGACAGTAAGTGAAGGAGTGAAGCCTAAGGGAAGATAAAAAGAGAGAATAATATTTAGGTTGTTGTCGTTGCAGTTAAGCTCTCTCCTCCCTCTCGCCAAAAATCTTTTCTAATATTCCATTTCTACCCTCTCGTCTCTTTCTCTCCAAAACACACACATCATCAAACCAACACTTGTCTGCTGCAAAGTCTCAAAAAACTCTCAGACTCTCTCTTCTTTCTTGGTTTCAAGATCACTCCTTCATCAATGGAGTCTGATGATTGTTCTGTTAAGGTTGCTGTTCACATCAGACCCCTCATCGGAGACGAAAGGCTTCTAGGTTGTAAAGATTGTGTCACTGTCGTTTCTGGTAAACCACAGGTACTGTTTCTTTTTTCAAGCTTCAGACAATGTCATACAGTTCTCTGTTTGTGTTCTTGATCTAGACTTCAAAAGAAATCTTTTTTTTTTTATATATAGAATCATTTCTAAACTGATGAGCTTTTGTTTATAGGAATCATCTGACTCACTGAGATCTAGATCTTGAGACGTTTAGGACCAGTGATGTTTCTTTTATCTTTCTTTTGCATGGTTGACTTAGTCAGTTCTGTTTTTTTTTTCTCTTTTTAGGACAGAACTATAATTATTGCATCTTTAACTTACTTCCTTAATTAAGTTTGGTCTGAAGATCAGTCTTCTTGTTGCTAATTCTCAAGAAGATTTAATTTTAATCCTTCAGGAAAAAAGATTTAATCTTTAAGTTGGGTTTTTTGAGATATTGTCAGAAAGTACATGGCTTGAAATGTAAATTGACAATGATTGATGCCAGGTACAAATTGGATCACATTCTTTTACTTTTGATCATGTATATGGAAGCACTGGTACTCCATCTACTGAAATGTATCAAGAATGTGCTGCACCACTCGTTGATGGTTTATTTCAAGGCTACAACGCTACGGTTCTTGCTTATGGACAGACTGGTTCAGGTAAAACATACACAATGGGTACTGGCTGTGGAGACACCAGCCAAACAGGAATCGTTCCTCAAGTTATGAATGCTCTTTTCACCAAGATTGAGACTCACAAGGATCAGATCGAGTTTCAGATCCACGTTTCTTTCATAGAGGTTGGTTTTCAAACAAGCCTGGTGGTTTCTAGACGCCCACCTAATCATTTAACCTCATAAAGCGCCCAACTAGCGCCTAGCGATTTTTTGAACATTAATTTTGACTGTTGTGTACTGAACATTTGATGGTTTTTTCTTTTAATTTGGTAGATTCATAAAGAAGAGGTGCAAGATTTGTTGGATCCTTCTACTATTAACAAATCAGACACTGCTAGTAATGGCAAGGTAGCACATGTCCCTGGGAAGCCACCAATACAGATCCGAGAATCATCAAATGGTGTCATTACATTAGCAGGTTCCACAGAAGTAAGTGTTAGTACTCTCAAAGAGATGGCTGCTTGTCTTGACCAAGGATCGGTCAGCAGAGCTACCGGTAGTACTAACATGAACAATCAGTCCAGGTGACTTATATACTTATGTGTAGTTATTAATTAAAATCGAAAATTGAACATTGCAATCATAAAAACTGTTTTTTTTTTTCTTGTAGTCGTTCACATGCCATTTTCACTATCACTGTGGAGCAAATGCGCAAGATTAATACAGATTCTACTGAAAATGGTACTTACAATGGGAGCTTGAAAGAAGAGTATCTATGTGCTAAGCTGCATTTAGTAGATCTTGCTGGTTCAGAACGAGCTAAAAGAACTGGCTCTGATGGTATGAGATTCAAAGAAGGTTAGTGTTCTTCTGTTTCATTTTTTTATGACCAGCAAAAAGCCTTTTTGATCACTGTTCTGCAATGGAAGTTGATTCTTTTTGTTAACCAGGAGTTCACATAAACAAAGGCCTCCTTGCGTTAGGAAATGTCATCAGTGCACTTGGAGATGAGAAAAAGCGTAAAGATGGTGCTCATGTTCCTTACAGAGACAGTAAACTTACACGGCTTTTGCAGGTATATTTGTTATCTTGAATATCACATTGTTCAGTGTTTCCTCCTTTCTCACAAGTTTTGCATTTTAACTTCTTTAGGACTCCCTTGGGGGTAACAGCAGAACTGTGATGATAGGTAACCTGCACTGTTAAACCCTTTACAGTTCTCGTTTCATATCTCTAATGCTTGCTGTTTGGGTTCCAGCTTGCATCAGTCCTGCAGATATAAATGCTGAGGAAACACTCAACACACTTAAATATGCAAACCGTGCTCGGAACATCCGGAACAAACCTGTTGTAAGCTACTCTTATCTGTCATGTCAATAGAAGAAACTAGTTATTACCTGACACTAGATTACTGATATCTTTTAAAACAGGTTAATAGAGATCCTGTGTCTAGTGAGATGATAAAGATGCGCCAACAGCTAGAATACTTGCAAGCAGAACTCTCCTTAAGGAATGGAGGGTCCTCATGTGCAGAACTCCAAGTATGTTGACCTTACTGTTCTTATTTTTACTTGAGAGTGAGTATAAAAGGTTAAGAGTGAGTGTGATGATGATGCAGGCTCTTAAGGAAAGGATTGCTTGTCTCGAAACTACTAATGAAGACCTTTGCCGTGAACTTCATCAGTACAGAAGCAGATATGCTGGCGTAGAGCATTCTGAGAAAGACTTTAAAGACATACAAGCTGTAATGATCAAACTGATACATTTTTATTACATGTGGATACTCGTTGTTGTTATGAAATATTGAATTGTTTGGTGGGCAGGATGAAATCGTCGGTTCTGTAAGACCTGATGGGCTGAAAAGGAGTTTGCACAGTATAGAGTCGTCTAACTATCCCATGGTTGAAGCCACAATAGGTAAAAGAAAGCTTTTATGAAACTAGAAGAAAGCAATGTTATTAAAGAGGAGAGTCTTCATTATATGCAGGTGATTCAAGGGAAATAGATGAAGAGGCAAAGGAGTGGGAACACAAACTCTTGCAGAATAGTATGGACAAAGAGTTGCATGAACTGAACCGTCGTCTGGAAGAAAAAGAGGTCTCTTTCACTTGTTGTTTTATGAAACTAAAGAAGTTTACTCTTGTTCCATAACTACATAATCTATGTATGTAAAAACAGTCTGAAATGAAGCTTTTTGACGGCTATGATCCTGCTGCACTGAAGCAACATTTTGGGAAGAAAATTGCAGAGGTGGAGGAGGAAAAGAGAGCTGTTCAGGTGGAATATACTTTGCATTTGATGCTCAAGTTTCATGTAAAGAAAAAGTTGTTGAACTATTTGGTTCTTTATTTCAGGAAGAGAGAAACCGTTTGATGGCTGAGATTGAGAACCTTGCTTCTGATGGTCAAGCACAGAAGTTGCAAGATGAGCATGCTCAGAATCTGAAAGCACTAGAAGCACAGATTCAAGACCTTAAGAAAAAGCAAGAGAGCCAAGTTCAGCTACTGAAGCAGAAACAGAAGAGTGATGATGCTGCTAGGAGGTTACAAGAAGAGATTCAATCCATCAAGGCACAAAAGGTATATATTCATGTCACATCTTATCTTTTTGAGAATGCATGTGTTTGATTCTCTTACCTTGGATTTTATAGGTTCAGCTGCAGCACAGAATGAAACAAGAAGCAGAACAGTTTAGACAGTGGAAAGCCTCCAGGGAGAAGGAACTTTTGCAGGTGCCTTTACCTTTTATCTCTCAAATAATCTAAGATTCTCACTGTATCTTTATACTTAATACTGGCCAACACAGTTGAGGAAAGAAGGCAGAAAGAGTGAGTATGAAAGGCATAAGCTACAAGCTTTGAATCAGCGTCAGAAAATGGTAAGCACAAGATCGTTACCATGGTCTCTAAAAGATTAGAAAAAAAGAAGATTGAACTGTAGAAATTGAGGAAAATTTTCACTTTCAGGTTCTTCAGAGGAAGACAGAAGAGGCTGCAATGGCTACCAAGAGGTTAAAAGAGTTGTTGGAAGCTCGTAAATCTTCTTCTCGTGAACATTCAGGTATGGTTTGTAATTAGTTATGTTTTGTCTTCTGATAGATGGTGCAGACTGTTGCATAGCTAGCTTGGGACCTACATGAGTTAACCTCGTATCTCAAGGAATAAGATAGTCATTGTTTGTGCTTTTGAGATTCTTAAGTAAAACACTCTTTGTGCAGGTGGTACTAATGGCTTAGGAACAAATGGTCAGGTGAGAATTGACACCATAGTAATTTTTTTTTCTGTGTGATTCTTTAAAATTCTAATTCAGTTCTTACTCTTCTATACAAATGAGAAGGCGTTGCAGAGATGGCTAGATCATGAGCTAGAAGTCATGGTGAATGTGCATGAAGTGCGTCATGAGTACGAGAAACAAAGCCATGTGTATGTCCCCAAACTTTCTAATAAGTTCATCATCACAAAGACTGTTCACTTATTGCTCATGTGATGATATAATTTCAGACGAGCTGCTCTAGCAGAAGAGTTGTCTGTGTTAAGACAAGTGGATGAGTTTGCAGTGAAAGGCTTAAGTCCTCCAAGAGGAAAAAATGGCTTTGCTAGAGCATCATCGTTGTCACCTACTGCAAGGATGGCTAGAATATCATCACTTGAGAACATGCTAGGCATATCTTCAAACTCTCTAGTAGCAATGGCCTCACAGCTTTCTGAGGCAGAAGAACGAGAACGCGCTTTTACAAGCCGTGGCCGCTGGAACCAGCTAAGATCAATGGGAGAGGCAAAGAACTTGCTTCAGTACATGTTCAACTCTCTTGCAGAAACAAGGTTGCCTCTAGCTTCCTAGTGACACACCTCCAACATCTTAAATCACTATTCTCATGACTTGTCTTTTATTTATGCCACATGCAGGTGCCAAGTGTGGGAGAAGGATGTTGAAATAAAGGAAATGAAAGATCAGTTCAAAGAGATTGTTGGCCTTTTGAGGCAGAGTGAGCTGAGAAGGAAAGAAGCTGAAAAGGAGCTTAAAGTAAGAGAGCAAGCACTTGCAACTTCTTTAGCTTCATCTCCTCTTGTAAGATCATGTCTCCTTTCTTACTTTATCCATAGTTTTAGCTTTAGTTTTTGCTTAGAGAAATAATGTATGGAATATAAAACATTTGTATAGGGTACCCCTCCTAGCTCAGTGAAACATATAGCTGAAGACATGAACAACACACCTTCTCCAATGACTGTGCCAGCACAGAAACAGCTCAAGTTTACACCAGGGATTGCTAACGGGAAAGTGAAAGACTCAGCTGCATTTATCAATGCAAACAAGAAGGTTAGATTCATTTTATTCTGCTTCCTTACTATTGGTAGCTAATGTACTTTTGTGTTTGGTGCAGATGGTACCAATGGGACAAGTATCAATGAGGAAACTATCAGCAGTTGGACAAAAGAGTGGGAAGCTTTGGAGGTGGAAGAGAAGTCATCACCAGTGGATTGTACAGTTCAAATGGAAGTGGCAAAAGCCATGGAGGCTCTCTGAGTGGATTAGGCACAGTGATGAAACACTTCTCAAAGCAAAACCTAGACACAAAGCTCTGCCTAATAAGATCACTAATAGGATCATGTGATCAAGTTCCTTTGTTTCAGTGTGTTCAAACTCTCTCTACTTGTGAGTATGAGACTTTTATGGAATGGATCATACAAATGGGTACAGGTAAATGAATCCTTCTCTAAGATTATTTAAGTAACTTGGAGAGGTCTTTCTAACGAGGTTTAATTCATGCAGGAGCAGAGACTGGACTTGCTGCAGTGTGTGTGAGGAAAAACTCTTTTAACGTTGTGTGATATTGAGTGTGTACCGTATTAAGGAGAAGCACCAGGACGAGCTTGCTTGTTGTGTAGGTAACAGATAGAAGAAGACGGCTTTTTAGGAGTTTTTTTTTTAATTTCATGTTCATAGAATTGACATCTTATACATCATTAAAGGAGAGCTGATTGAGGAAATAAAACCTCATCTTCAAGTTTGCAGATATTATTTGTATGAAAAGAACTTTACCAGCTTATTTTGTTATTTGGTTTTGTTGTAAATGATAAAATATATGTTCAGTGTTCATTATTGTTTATCATATTATTAAGATTGAGACATAAAACAAGACAAAGCAAAAGAAAAAAAAAATTGAGAGAGACATGATTCAATGTCTTTTCTTCAAGCTTTTTATTGATAAACACAAGAGACATTAACAACACTAGTATGCATAGTGGTCATCTCTCCTTATGGATGCTCATAAAAGTCAGCTATGTTGGCATAACACGTTTTTCTCATCTTCTAAAACAAAGTAGCCCCAACAACAAAACCATAAAACACATGGAACACCTAACCCGCAACTCATAAATCCAAAATTAAACAGGTTCGGTTTAATCCAATTTTGGTTTGATTTTGGTTCGGATTAACTTACAACTCCAGATTGGTTTTATACATTTCGGATTCAGTTTAATTCCCTTGTTAATGGGAGACTGTAACTGTATAAGTTTTACTGTAAAAATTTTGGATGTATCTGTATTTAATGTAGATGTAGAAATTAAATGAGAAAAAATGAAAAAAAAAAAAGATATTCCTACAATAATCTTACATCAGTATTTTTTTTTTGCTTTAGAAAATAAGTTTTCTATAACCATTTTTTATTTATCTTAGCTTTAAAACTATTTAAAACATGATTAGTGATTTATATAGTTATAGATAGAAAATAAAACTAAAGTCACTAGTTAAAACCTAACCGATCATTTCCAATATCTCTAGTTTTTCAAAAAAAAAGGTTTGTAATCTCTTCTGGTTCATTTAGATTCAGATTTGGTTTTAGTTTCGGTTATTTCCGGTTCGATTTAGATTCAGATTTTTTTTTTGTGTGTGTTGATCCCTCTTTGAATCCACCACCACCACAAGCCTCTCGTTCGTTGAGCGAGAGAGTCAGAGAGAGAGAGAGAGACATGGCGTCGTGCTGTGTGAACTACATCTCTCCGCCACGTGCCTCTCCTTCACGCTCCTCCTTCTCTTTCTCCGGCGATTACGCCGCACACTCCCTTCTCCGTGAACAATCCATACTCCTCCGCCGCGCTACAAGATCTCCGTCGATCGTCGCCCCTAGGTTCCAGGTAACACTTGTTTTTGAGCTCCAATATTGAAATGCGAGCTGTTGATTTTCGGATTTTCGTATTCTTCAGGTTGTGGCGGTTGAGAAAGCGGAGGCGCAGCCACTGAAGATAATGATATCAGGAGCTCCTGCTTCTGGTAAAGGTACTCAATGCGAGCTCATCACTCAGAAAGTTAGTAAGCTCTTCTTTACTCTCTTTGCTTAATGTTACGGTTTAGTTCCGGTTTAGGATCGGTTTTGTGTAATTAGAATCGTTGAGTTTCTTTGTATATTTACTTAGGTTGTTGAATAGGTTAGGATAATGAATCACACTCTTGATGTAGTCTTCTTCATCAACAATAAGAATATTAGAGTTTCACAATTTTGCTTAATGTATGGTTTAGTTCCGGTTTAGGATCGGTTTTGTGTAATTAGAATAAATGAGTTTCACTAGTTTAGCTCTTTTAGAAGCTTTAGGTTGTTGAATAGGTAAGGAGAATGAATCACTCCCTTGATCTGTTCTTGTTCTTCTTCTTTATCAACAGTAAGAATAATAGAGTTTCACAATTTTGCTTAATGTATGGTTTGGATTTCGTTTAGGATTGGTTTTGTATAATTAGAACCGTTGAGTTTCTTTGTATACTTACTTCTTCTTGCTCAATGAGAAGCTTAGGTTGTTGACTAGGTAAGGAATGTCATTCTCTTGATGTATTCTTCTTCTTTTTCTTCATCAACAATACGAATATTAGAGTTTCACAATCTTGCTAATTGTATGGTTTATATTCGGTTTAGGATCGGTTTTGTGAAATCACAGTCGTTGAGTTTCTTTGTGTACTTACACTTCTTCTTGCTCAGTGAGAATGAATGAATTTCACAGTTTTAGTTCTTTTTAGAAGCTTAGTTTGGTGAATATGTAAGGAGAATCAATCTCTTGATGTATAATCTTCTTCTTCAATAGAGTTTCAGAATCTTATCTTTGGTTATATTTGAACCTTAGGTTGTCAAATAGGTAGAGAGAAGGTCCTCCTCTTTGTTAGTTTCTGTTTCGGTGGAAGACGTTCTGCTTGTTTCGTAATTAGCTACTACCTTTTTGCAGTATGGTTTGGTGCATATCTCTGCGGGAGACTTATTGAGAGCTGAAATCAGTTCTGGGAGTGAGAATGGAAAGCTGGCAAAAGAATATATGGAGAAAGGACAACTGGTCCCTGATGAAATAGTTGTAATGATGGTTAAAGATCGTTTATCACAGACGGACTCACAGCAAAACGGATGGCTTTTAGATGGTTATCCTAGAAGCTCATCGCAGGCAACAGCTCTTAAGGGGTTTGGATTCCAGCCTGATCTGTTCATTGTCCTCGAAGTATATGCACTTTTCTTATCATTCATGTTCCCTTATTACTTGGCTCTCTACAGTTTGCTAGATTAGAGTTATGTTTGCTAGCTCAAAGATGTGATCATTTGATTTATGCCTGCTCTGCTTTTTGGGACAGGTTCCTGAAGATATTCTAATCGAAAGAGTTGTGGGGCGGAGATTGGATCCTGTCACGGGAAAGATCTACCACTTGAAGTATTCTCCTCCGGAGACAGAAGAGATCGCTGCTAGACTCACCCAACGTTTTGATGATACTGAAGAGAAGGCAAGTTGATACTGCCATTGCTATTTCTTAGATATGAACCTCTCTCTTAGTATACATTTGTTTGTGATGTATAGGCAAAACTGCGGCTGAAGACACATAACCAAAATGTGAGCGATGTGCTTTCCATGTACGACGATATAACTATTAAGGTCACACCCTTTTCATTCTGCTTTTCTCTCTCTCTCTCTGCATCAATGAGAGTCTCATGAAGCAAAATGGTCCTTTGATTGTTTAATTTATTCAGATAAAGGGAAACCGTTCAAAGGAGGAAGTTTTTACCCAGATTGATACTGCTCTATCCCAAATGGTTCAAAAGAGGAACACCGCACCAAGTTCACTTTCAAGTTGAACTATTTCTTGGTACAGACCTGAAGAAGTGTTTGACCATATCAATACTGCTCTCTGTCCGAAATGCTTCAACAGAGGAAACACTGCTCCAACTTCACTTTCAAGTTGAATCATTCTTGTCACGGATCTAACCAGCGGTAAATATCCCCTTCTCGCATTTATCACATTCGATTGATACCTCTTGTATCACAATAAAGGATCTGTTTGTTTCCAGTAAGATGGTGTATCTCTGTGCGTCTGTGACCTCCTTTGTACTCTTGTAGATTTACTGAAAATAACCTTTTGTGTTTGTTTCTCTTGTCACTTGATTCTATTAGTTATCAACTCATTTTAGACCTTTGAAAAGTTCTTTTAGTCTTCTTCGTATCAATGAGTCAACTTTTGAATATTAGCGTCTAAACTCAACTCGACAATGGGTGATATAATATCCACTGATATTCACATGATTGATTGTTTAGCTAACTCCTTTTCCTAAGCAACTTATATTGGAATTCTATGATTTTGACTTTTGACTTCTCCAATGGAGTTTAAAACAAGTTGGTACGCTAATTATACTTATTTTTTATTGTCTCCCACGCGACTGACTTGGAATCTCATAAAATGCTTGAAAAATGCAGCAGCGTATCTTATTGGCTTTTCCTTTTGTGCTTTCACATCAAACTGCTTGTGCTAACATTTCTATACCAACTAAGGAAGACCAATAGAATTGAAAATAATATAAACAAAAAAAATAAAGCGACACGTGGCTAATTACTATCGGAACGTGATAGTGGTTCGGTCTGTGGAGCTGCCAAGCAAGCAGCCAAAGCCTTCTCTAAGTTACTAACTACCTCCGCCATGGACGGCCTTTCACGACCACACGGCACAACGCACTCCACCGCCAAGTACCCAAGATGCGCCACCGACTCTATCTCGTACGGTGTAGGCGGCGGTATCCTCCTATCAAGCGCTCTATGAACCTCGTCTTGCAAAATATAAGGCACGACAAACTCCACCACGTTTCTAGGGTTCTCCTCCTCGTTCATGTGTATCGCCTTGTGTCCCGACAACAACTCAAGAAGCACAACGCCGAAGCTGTAAACATCGCTCTTGGTCGTGAGCTGCTGAAGCCTGTAGTACTCCGGGTCTATATACCCGAGCGTACCAGCTGCTCGTAAGGAGAGATGCGACACGTCTTCTTCCTCCGTGGGACCCATCTGAGAGAGACCGAAGTCAGATACCTTAGCTGTCCACGTGGCGTCAAGCAATATGTTTGACGACTTAATGTCACGGTGGATCACCGGAGGCATAACGAAGTCGTGGAGATACTGTATCCCACGCGCTGCGTCAAGAGCTATCGTCAAACGTCTCTCCCAAGTCAAGGGTTCGAATCTAGGGTTATGAAGGTGATCTGAAAGAGACCCGTTAGGCATGTACTCGTAAACCAAAACCCTCTCTTCAGCATCATCGTAGAAACCGAGAAGCTTAACAAGGTTCTTGTGGTTAAGCCGCGACATAGACTCTAACTCGTTTACAAACGCTGAGTCATTATCCTCTCTTCTGTTTCGGATTCTTGTGATCCCCGACAAGGTAGGGTTTGTTAGGTCGGCTCTTTTTATCGCGACGTGACGTCCATCGGACAAAACAGCTTTGTAAACAATACCGAAACTACCTATACCTAGCTGGAACCGGGGAGAGAAACCTTCCGTGGCGTGAGCGAGTTCCTCTATAGAGAACTCAACGAGCTGGCCGTGGTTTCCTAAGCTAGCTAAACTGCTTAACCTCTTCTCGAGCTTAGGTTGGGAAACTATAATCCTGTTGTCGTCAAGACGTCCAGAGTCATGAACACGGCATCGGAAGTGACTTTTATAGATTAAGAATCCGATAACAAGGAGTAAAGAACACGTTCCAACGCATCCGACTACAAGAAACGCAATGTTTTTATTACTCCAAGTCTTGTCTTTAGTCTCTTGTTGTCCACGTGGCGTATCTGGAACGGGAAGTTTAGGATTGTGTGTGTTTATAGAATCGCAAATCATTAATCCGTTACCGCATAATGAAACTGATCCTGGTAAGGGACCGTACAGACAGTCATGTCTGCACGGTCCTGGAAGTAGAGGTTGGTCTTGGAACGGAGTGAAAACACTCTGATCATCTCCCCAACAAATCAGAGTGTAGTTTGATGTAACCACACCGCAGAAGATTAGCCCTTTCGCGTAAATGGATATGAAATGGATTTTCTCAAAGCTTTTAGGTAAAGTGAAACCGTTGTTGTTGTTGTTGCTTCCCCAACACGTTACTGTTTTGTTGAGCCATCTAACACCGCAGATACCGTTTTCCCCGAGTGAAATTGCTGAGAACTTTTCACTCGGGGGAGATGTAGACTTTTCTCCCCAACATGTTACATCATTGTTTACTGTGATGGCACACGCTTGTCTTGAACCAGACGCAACCGCTATGAAGCTGTTTTCACTAGGGGCGTTGGTTATGTTACCTTCACAGGTGATTCTTCCAGGTGGTTTGGACAATCCACAGAGAAAGTCTTCTCCGATGGCTATGGAGTCGTAGTTCCCCGACAGTGGAAAAGAGACAGGTGTCCAGCAACGAGTAAGGTTGGTGACTTTCTCAACTCCGCAGATTCGAGAAGTGCTAGCTTCTAACTCTTTGAGTTCAGGACCTTTGTAGATTCTCTTGTACGTCATGTTATCTCCGTTATTTGAGAATCTCCAGCAAAGGATTGTAGAAGTGTTGGAACCTAGTGGTGATCTCAAACCGCAGACAAACCCGTTTCCAGACACAACTCCGGAGAATCTACGGTTTTGTAGTGTACCGGTTAAAGAGAAAGGGATAGGGTTTTGGAGGCTGGTGCATTGGAGATGAGAGGTGTTGGTGAGAGCACATACGAGGGTTTGATTAGAGGTGTGGGAGATGGAGACAGTGGACAAGGAGAAGCAGAGTAAAGAGGAAGAGGAGATAACAAGGAGAAGGAGAGATGGGAAGTAATAGTTAAATGCCATTGAAGAAGACTTCTCATGGCGATGTGTGTTTTGTGGAATGGTTTTTTTTTTGTAAGAGGGGAAGATTAACGCGGTTAGTGTGAGGACTTAAAGAGAAAATCAAGTCTTGTTTATGTCTCTATATGATTTTTCTATTCTAATATTTAGATTTTTTTTGTTTATGGTCAACTCTTTGAAAAGTTCTTCACTTTAGTTTTAGTGGCTCTAAACTCAGTTTGTTTTAGGTGGAAAAAGGTGAAGTATAAGCTAATTTACTATGATTTTTGTTGACAAGAAACACCTAGATGAACAGTTAGAAGAAAAAAATATGATGTTTGGTAAAAGAAAACATTACCCTAAGATCATTTTTAAAAAATGTTTAAATTTTGAAATGAGTTCTTATATATTTTTTATAATGCTTTTCTGAAGTGCAGAGACCACAAACTCTCAAGGATCCACTGTGAATCAGATTCTGCTCAATTTATCAAATACTATAAACTCTTGGTTTTTCTATTGCAGAACTGTATGGTATAATATAACTGATGATATCAGCTCTTTTGCCTCTTTTTCTAAAATTCATCTCGTTCACCTAGATCTCACGTGAAAGAAACATGATAGCAGATGGGTTAGCAAAACAGATTTTGTCTGTTGAACTTTCATAATATAAGAATGGAAACAATAAAGTGAAATTTCAGAAGATTAAGTATGTATACCAATAATCTATATGGTTTGTCTCTTTCTAAAATTTAGGTTGTTTCAAGAATTAGTGATCATATTATCTTGGTTCTTGCAATAATATCTAAACTGATCTTTTTTGCAGAGATGTTATGGTTATTGCGACACCCTATGGCTAGTGGTTGTGAACTTGTGACCACTTTCTCTATTGCAGATGAAGTTCACTTTAAGTTCAGTAAAAGCTGCCGATCTCTACAAGAATCAGTGAGTCTCTTTTAGTGATCTTTTTGTTCTAACTTGTTCCATCATGAGTGCACTCTAATACCTTACTGATTATGTTCTCTCGTTTTGTTTAAAAATTGCAGTAAATAGTACTTTGGACATTTGAGAACATCAAGTCGAATTGCTTTCTACCTTGTCTATCCATCCTCTTTCAGTAATCGCAAATAACTACCAACAAAAGCTACTTGCAGGCAGAGATGACATGAAAGCAATTAGAAACTCTCAGCCCTCCCATCTTGAAGCAAATTCTCAAAACTAGACATGCCTAATAACACAGGGTAATATGTTTACATAAAAGTGACAAAATACTTATATTATTTATAACTTGTTTGTGAACATCATTACAGATTCACATAAGGGTCACTATCAAACAAGTTGATAGACTCATCAACCAAAAAACAAGGTAAGCACACTTGAAGTATACCAACCCTACGACTCATGATACAGATACAAGCCAAGACCAAACCGAGCACAAGCTCTGCAAAATGCCAACTCCTCAGCTGCAGCAACTGGATCATCAATGAGATCGTCACTCATCGTTACAGTCCCAGTAGACTCACGATATGCCTACATTACATAGAAACTCCAAGTTTTAAATAGTGTGACACATACAGAGAAAGAAAGACAAAAACAAACTTACCTCACCATCAGAGCCACGAATGGTGAGACGGTAAACAACGGTGACAGAGCCATTCTCAGAGTAAACAACATCTCGTACTTCCCCACACCAACCTGGTGCGTAGAAGCTTAGCATACGGTTTGCATGGTACCTAAGAAAAAAGAACCAAGAACTCAGATCAAGAAGCAACAACAACAGATATGGAAATGTAGTTATTACCAGGGGATGAAGCCAGAAGAAGAGGCATTGGATCCAGGACCATGGCTCTTGACGATGTTATCAGGGATCTTCTTGTTGAGATCACGAAGAATCTCAATGAGAGGACGAGTGATGGAGGAGGAGGAGGAGAACTTGTCGTCCATAGGGACTACGTAGTTGGAGTTAGGAACTGCTTTTTGCTTCCATGCGTCTCCACCGAGTCCACTAATGCTGCATCTGACTCCTCGTAATGTTTCTTGGCGAAGAGAGACGGTTCTTGGTGAGAAGAGTCTTTGGGATGAGGTAGATAGGGCGGAGTTTCTGAAGAGTGTCGTGGAGGTTTGCAACTGCAAAGACATTGTAGAGGAGGAGATGGAAGGAGACAGGAGACAGGAGACAGGGGAAGAGGAAAACAGGAAAAGAGTGAGAAGAGATTTGTCTGCTTCTTCTTCTTCTCTCTGAAGGTAAGTAGAGAGGTAGGTGGGATAGGTGGGCGAAACTCAAACCAACCATCTTTTAATCTTTATTTTTTTAAAAAAATTTGGGTAACATATCCCACATTAATGTATTTTAGATTTTGATTCCATATGTAAACATTTTTGTTAATTATTTGACTTTGGTTTACATATTTAAAAAATTATATTTAATATACTTATTTACCTTATTTTATTTAGCATTTATTTCAATGAATTCAACAGTTGTACAACTCATAATAACTTTTTTATGAGTTCGAGTTTGGAACTCACTTTTACTTCCTGCTTCTCCACTTTGATAATGTATTTTATTCCGTTTTAGAACCCAACATTTAGTGTTATAAAAAAAAAGTACCCAACATTATGTCTTTATTGGATTTCAATTTTCAACTAATGGTTCGAGATTTACATCCCAACGTTAGAATATGATATGTATTGCCTTTAAAAAGTCTCTAATTGATATAAATATGAGGTTTTCCCACACTAATTTTGTGTCAAAGTTAGCTTTAGAGAAGTTTTAATAGGGTTCTGTCTTATTCCAATTGCATGTGGTTTCATTTCTTCAACTGCATGTAATTGATTCAGGTTTGTAAGCAGTATTTTAAGTTCAGCTAAACCAAATTCGTTTTGAATACTAGAAGAGCTTGTATCCCCCCAACCTACCTATTCTTAAATCCCAATCTTTACATAAAGTTACCCTTAGTAGTTATCAGCTAAACCGAATTCGTTTTAGGATAATGAAGACAAAGGCAAAAGATAAATTGTTGGTCATCCCCAACTTATTCAACAACCCAAATGTCACAAAAGCATCCAAGAAATGCAAAAAAGACCAAATTATTAAGCGTTTTCTCTCACACAGAAGAGTATTTCAGTGCTGCAATAGAAAAACCAACAAACCAAAAGAAAAACTCCATAGATAGAATAACAAAGGTCAATCATATCATATCAAGACTTCTTCATTCTCCACCACTTTCTTTTTAAAGATTAAGCCAAATATCCCACAAAACAAAAACAAAACCATGCTTCAATAGATATCCTTTATTACCTTTCAAGAAGATGCTTTCTTCACTTAGTTTCCAGTGACCTTCAGCGTGACCTCGATAGCCCGCGCAAGCTCATTCAAGCCATCTTCCTGAACCAGTGAGGATTCAATTGATTGCTAGATTCATCACCCTCATCGTAAACATCCAAATCCTCATCAAAAGCAGTCATGTCAAGCTGATAACGAAGTATCCCACCAATCCCACCAAACCCTCTACAAAACTGAGACCCTTCTTGAGACTTATTAGTCACAAACTCCAACGCACAACCAAAACGTCTATACTCATTCGCCAACCACTCCAACAAAGACATCTTATCCTCCACATCAAGATCACTATTCTCCACTTTATAATTCTCACTGTCCCCTTCCTGCTCCTTATTCAAATGCTTCACCACAGTTTCACCACTCGCACTGTTCTTTAAAACATACCTGTTGATGTCAAGATTCTCCCACACAATCAAAGTCTCAACAGCACCCGAATCCAAAGCGTTTAACGTGTCCTCCACGCCAAAGACATATTTCCCCGTATCCTGACTTATCTCCTCAAAATACTTCCCTATCAACCGCTTCTCCTGAATAAACTTAACATTCGCGAGAATCTCCGACGACAGCTCAATCGCCTGGTTGAATCCATTCTCCCCTCCGTTGAGTATCTTCGCGCCGAGGTGCGGATCAAACATATCAGACTGGCTCAACTCCGTCTTGAAATCCGCCGAACCGGCGAGTATCAAACCAGAGACATTAGGCTGGCTCGTCACGGGGTTGATATAATACTGCGTGGCTAACTCGGCCGTTTTCCTCACGTAGTTATGACGCTTCTCCATATGGAGCCGGGCGAAACGGAGGGCAGACTGCCCTCCTCTCCCGTGCTTCTTCGGAAGATCAACTGAGAATTTATGAAGTACCTCTCTTGTGTTACCACTCAACGTCCCAAAGAGGGTTCCGTTACCGTCCATGACAATGAAACCAAACTTATCATCAGACTCGAGCAGCTCGTTTAAAGCTTCCGTGTGGAACTTATTATCACATAGGTAGAGAACATAGGTAGAGAGTGTTGTTAATGGGCTTGAAAGGCTCAAAGTCTATAGTGACTTTCTTCTCTTTACCATCGTCTGTAACAATGGTTCCAGTGTAGAGGACGAGACCGTTTGGTGGGACTTTGTTGTAGAGTTTGAGTCTCTGCTGCGCGGAAGTGATGGCTCCGAGGACTGATTGGCGGTTGACTCTGGATTTGATGTTTAAGGTGGTTCCGTACTCGCCTAGCATCTTGGTGACGCGGGGTTGATAGAAATCTGATTTTAATATTAATTTTTTTTGGTTTGTGTGTGAACTTCCCCATCATCATTTGATGGGGGTGTTCCAACCTAATCTCGTTTGTTTAATGGGTTTGAGCCTAAATATCTATAATTTTTTTTCCTTTTTTTTTTTCTACTAAACCGACTCACTTTAATGAGCCTAAGCCCAATAGTTAATAGTTTCATTTAACTAGCACGTGTATTGTTAAGGTTGGGCATTCGGGGTCCTAATCTGGATTCGGTTTTGTCCAATCGAATCTCAATTTTTTGGATTTATCAAAATTAGCCTTATTCGGATTATTTGAAAGTTCAATTCGAGATCGATTCATGGTTCTATCAAGTTCAAGTTGAGGTTAGTAAATCTTTAAGCCAATATAACCCGTTATACTTTCGTATTTGGGTTCCAATAAGTACTTCAGTTTAAAATACCTAATTTGTAACTAAAACATAAGTAAAATCGGTTTTCGGATTTAAATAAAATTGATTTAAAAATAAGAAAGGAACATCAAACGTGATCATTTAAAATCAAATGAAAGATAAACATAGTTATTAATAGAAAAAACTAAATAAATAAAAACATAAAACGAAAACTAAATTCTTAAAAAATGAGAAACACTATTCAATTAAAAAACCTTAATCTAAAAATTTCAAGTTTCAACCACCATTTTCAACTAACATTTTCAACCATCAACTTTGTAATATAGTTATTTTAGATTTTTAGTTATAACTTAAAGTATTTTGGATATATATTATGAATTAAGATCATATTCGGTACATGTTCTTACTAAATTTTTTGAATGTCTCACATTCTATCGGATATCCAACTAATTTTGGATTCGATTTGGATAATATCCATAATCCGAAATAAGCAAAGATTCATTGGGTATTTAAGTTAGGTTGGGATCTCTTTGGATTCATTTTTATCTGATAGGTTTCAGTTTATTTACCCAGCGCTAGGTCTTGTTTCGATTTTGTGTTGGCGACATTTGTAGAGTGAAGGAGAAAAAGAGAGAAGAGAGAGATATGGCATGGAGGGGAAACATATCGAAGTCTCTCAAAGAGCTCAGGATTCTTCTCTGTCAATCTTCTCCTGCTAGTGCTTCCACCAGGTTCATCTATCTACCTTCACTCTGTCATTTTCCGGTTTGATCGAACCAAATCTGTGAGATCGGCGATTTTAATCAGACCAATCCAATTTTTTGTTTGTTTTGATACAGGACGTTCGTGGAGAAGAACTACAAAGAATTGAAGTCTCTGAACCCTAAGTTTCCCTTCCTGATTCGAGAATGTAGTGGGATCCAGCCTCAGATGTGGGCTAGATATGGTAATTGCTTCAATCTTGTTGGCTATAAAATGTGTCGTGTGTGTTTTCAGTGATTTTAAGATGTGCGTAGTGTAGTGTTGGTAGTTTAGTTTTACATGAATTTGATTGTTGTGTCTGAATCTGGTAATGCCTACTGCTGTTTCTGTTATGTTTTCTTTTTATATGTTGTGTCTGAATTTGATTGTTGTGTCTGAATTTGTCAATGCCTCTACTGCTGTTTCTTTTATGTTTTGTCTGAATTTGATTGTTGTGTCTGAATCTGTTAATGCCTGCTGTTTCTTTTATGTTTTTTTTACATGAATTTGATTGTTGTGTCTGAATCTGTTAATGCCTTCTACTGCTGTTCTTTTATGTTTTTTTTTTAATATGCTGTGTCTGAATTTGATTGTTGTGTCTGAATCTGTTAATGCCCTCTACTGCTGTTTTTTTTTTGTGTTTGTTGTCTTGTCTTCCTTTTTTTGTATTGTAACTTTACGGCAATCACATATCAGTGCATACATCTTGTAGAAGTATTCAAACCAAACCATCTGTAATTAAGAGAAATGAATCATCTTGTGGGAAAATTTAGAGATACTAGATAGCATGTCTCTCCTCCTACATATAGAGAATTTATATGCAAATGCCATGTCTTTAGGAAGTTATTAGATTTTTCAAAATGATAGAATCAAAGAATAGTTAGCCGAATTCATGAGGAGAAGCGTCTAAGACTCGTCTCTCCATGACTGTTGTTATTTGAAACAAGTTGTGCCCTTATTCGTTAAGTAATTTTTGCTCTTGTTTTTTTCTTTTGTACTTGTGTATCCGTTAATATATGCTTGAGCTTGTCTCACACATTACACTTGTGGCAGATATGGGTGTGGAGAGGTGTGTAAACTTGGATGGAATGAGCGAGACACAGATTCTGAAGTCTCTTCAAGATCTTGTGAAAGCTGGAGGAGCTACAAAAGCCTAAGGTTGTTTGTTTTTAGCTATCTAGATGATCCCGAATAAGCTATAACTGGAAACACTATTTGACATTTCCTGTCATTCTATTACTTTGTAACTCTCTGGTGTCATATCCCCTTTTCGTTTGAGTTGTTTTCTTTGTGTGTTGAATCCTTGAACTTGGTGGTATAAATGGAACCATTCCGTATGATTGTTGAATGCATAGAAATGAGGATATAAACATAGCAAAGTGTAAAAACCATTTAAAGCAATTATGATTATTGTGAGGATTTTACTTATCAAAAAAAAAATTATTGTGAGGATTTTCTCTGTTTTTCTCCTATTTTTTTTCATTATTTTTATGTGTGATAGACTTGCTGGTAGGAGGAAGAAAACTCAAATTGGAAAAGCTGATCCTTCCTTCAACCAAACTTAATAATTGAAAAAACATCAAATAGATCATACTCTTTGATCCTTAGAAAAATAAGAAGATCAAATGATTTATGATCAACATCACAAAATATGAACGTTAGCAAAAGATCGTAATATGAATCTATTCTGACTCCAATTATGTGCCTCGGGCTAGCATTTCTTGATACCTCTTGAAGGACAAGAGTTTCTGAAGCTTCATCTGCTTATGAAACCTCGAAATGAAGAGATCTGCTACATGGTCAATCTCATCTTCTAGCTTAAAACTCTCTCCTTCCTCTTCCTTCGAGTTCTTCACCATATCTATCACTGAACCTTCCTCCAACTCCCCAAAATCATCATCTCCTTCGAACAACGTGTGCCTCAGATCAGGATACTTGTCGTTTTCCTCCTCTACGACGTCGTAACTCTCATGATGAGCCACTGTGGATGCACCACTGTTGTAGAGGATTATAGCCTTGCTGTTATCTTGGTCTTGGTCTTGATCAGAATGGCCTAGGAGGTTGTGGATCTTGTTGGAAATGGAACGGAACCCGAGCTTCTTGTGTTTCACGAGAGACAACACCATGAGTCTTGTTTTGAAGGCACTTGTCTTGTTCTTTACCGCTATAGATTTAGCCTTTGCAATGGAACTCAAAAACGCAACGATCTGTTTCATCAACGCCGTAGCTTTCTTCATTTTCTCTCTTTGTAATAATCAATATATGTTTTTTCAATGGTGTTTTGAATAATAATAATGTATAAGAGTATGTTGCTTAATTAGCATGGAGAGGAACATTGGTGGTGAGAGCCTTGAAGGGTTTATATAGTACTGTACTCGATAGGTACGGTGAGGAGTCATGCATGGCTTTATTATATGAGTCTTGTCGTATTGTTTAATTAACGGCTATATGGTTTTACTTAATGGCGGAGAAAGCTTCCCACAATTCGACACGTGGATTTAGACCATTTGATATAGTGGATCATTTGCTTTTTCTGGTTAACCTTTATAGCTTTTATGTCACGTTCGGACGTTCCCTTCCATCCAATTACATCGTGCCTACATTTCTCGAATGTATGTATATGAAATGTCTTTGTATTTGTTAAAGAAACCTTTTTCTTTTAGAAAAAATTGTTAAAGGAACCTTGAGACACTAATTTTACGTATAGTTTGTTTTTAGGTAGGTTTTTCTTATAAAGTATTAGCCCAACTATTAAATTTAACACAAATAAAAAAGAATGTTGTATTTCAACATTGTAATTCATGTTCATTACGTCATAAATTGGATACGTTTCAATCGTTTCTGTATCACTAATCCTCAATTAAAAGATTTGATAAAGAAACTACTTTTGTTGTTATATAAAATGCGATTAGCTTTACCTACAAAAGCAACTTGACAACTATACAATCGAAACAAAAGAATTATTTGTAACCCAAAAGGAAGTTTCATCCAACTTGTGAAAAAAATAATAATATCAGAATCGGGAAGATGCTTAGCTAAAGTTACAGACAGCTAAAGAGATCCAATGGCAACGTAAATTCATTGTACTTCACTACTTCTTCTTCTAAAGCTATTTTTTATTTACTTTTTCTGAAAATTGGAGAATAAAAGGAGGAGATGGAGGAAACTGATTGCATGTGATGGGTATTATTGTATGAATGGAAAGTGTTTTTACGCACTTGGTCTCACATTTCAAGGCGCCGCGAATTTTCATTTGCTCCATGATTTATAATAGCTTTATAAGATTCTCTTTCACTTGTTGCCACACTTTGATCCTTACTCTAGTCTCTAGATAGTTTTCTAGATACTTTACATTTTACACATTATATACTTAGTCATGTCGTTTATGAAGATTAGTTTAAAGTGTACATCCACATTCAAACCTCACACTCAATAGAATGTTTAGAGGATACTGCTGTGTTTACGCATCTGTGTTTTTTTTCTCAGATTTTAAACCCTACACATACTTGTGACAGACAGAAGATATTGAATATGTATTTTGATATTCGACTAAGATTCAAAGTCACGGTTTGGGCTCAAAGTGGAATATGGTCCAAAGGCCAATAACCTTTTAGGAATTAGAGAAAAGGGATCTGAAAATGCAGACATGCTTAATGAACAGAGGCTAACAAAACGAGTCCAATTCATCAATAAAATCATATTCCTGTTAAAGAATAAAGAAAAAGGTTGTAACTCTGTATATGTTATTCATCACGTGTACATACATATATATACATACAAGAGAATAAGCATATTCCTTAGGAGATAAGGATTACAACAATAAAGGGGATGATTATCCTAATCCTATAATGATTAGGATAACTACAACATATGGATAAATACAAGGGAGGATAATGACAAGT